TTTTTTTTTTTGCTCAAGGCTAGCACCCTATCACTTGAACCACAGCTCTACTTCTGGCATTTGCTATTTAATTGGAGATAAGAGTCTTATGAACTTTCCGCCTGGGTTTGCTTAGAACTGTGATCCTCAGTTGTCAGTCAGCCTTCTAGGTAAGCTAGGATTACAGACATGAACCTGGTTCCTGCTTCCTTAAAGTAATGGAAAATTGTCCTTTTATTTTCTTTTTGCTCATTAAAAAGTGGTTTTATAAAACAAGATGAGGTGATTCTAGTCACAATTTTGATGTTTCTGTTCTTTAACCATCAGGATATTAGTGAAGAATCTGATCCAGCACTTGATCTGCATATGTCCTTGGAAGAGCTTTATGCCCAGAATCTCCTGCAGAGACAGGATGAGAATCCACCTTCAGTGGATCTCAGCATGGGGACTGTTTCTGGCTTCACCATGAATGATTATACCCCTTCAAATGCTATGGAGCAGCAGTATGAATGTGAAAGCAGAGTAGCTTGGACTGAGTCTCAGTTACCCAGTGATGTGATGCCATGCACAGACCTTGCTTCTCCTGACCTACTTGATTCAACTGGAAAGGTAGTATTTTAGATGTAGTTTGTGTGTTATCATGAGCTTTGGCACCAAAGAGCTAGTGTTCTGGCTAAGCTCTCCATTTGGAATGAGTGCTCATCTGACACTGAGACAACCTATAAACTTGTTTTGATTATAGGTGGGTTCTTGCTAAATAAAGCACAACTAATTAGAGTACACGTATAATGTTGAAATCACACTCCAAAGTCTAGTTTTTCTTTCCATGTGACTTGTCTTTCAGGGTTCTGAGTATTTGATTGAACAGCGCTCCCTGGCCTGTAATGCCGAAAGTGTCATACTGCAGAATATGTCCAAAGAATCTTTTGAGAGGACTATTACTATAGCAAAAGGCAATTCTAGTCTAGGTAAGTTTTTCATTTTCTAAATATCTCTACTCCTCAAACCTTGTGCAGGAGAGAGCTTGATCTTGGTAGGGTTTTGTTGTTGTTGTTTTGTTTTGTTTTTGCTACAGATCAGAAAACCAATGTTAGAATCTCAGTCTCTTTCTCTCCCTCCCTCAGAAATTTTCTTGTAGTTTTTTGTGGTTTTTCTATTCATGTATTTGTTATTTTTCTAAAACAGTTAACAGTTTTGTTTATTTCATACTGGCTTAACTCCTTCATTCTCTTAATTATTTCAAAGTATTCAAAAGCCTCATTTACCTTCAAGTAAAAGATATATGAATTGTTTGTGTTTGAAATAGCAAATCAGAAAAGGAATTCTTAGAAAATGGAAAGTCATCAATTTGAAATTCTAAATTCTTTGGAAAAGGGAATTATTAGTTTTGTTTTGAATGTTGCTAGTTATGCACAAGTCAGTTTGTATTTAGTTTCTTTCATTTACTGGAATAAAGACTAAAGACATCCAGGTGTGCTACCACCAGATATAAATGCCAGTTCCTCAATAGTTCTTTCCAGGTGGCAGGTTTCTAAAGTCCTCTGTTGCTGAGTGTTTTGACTGGTTAATCATCACAAAACCCTCAGAAATGGGCAAAGAAGATTTCCTTTGGAAATAAAACCCTAATTATAATAGCTAAAACTGTTAGGACAGAGTACATTTGTTCTCTCATTGAATATAAATAGTCATGTGATTCAGCCTTGTCCTCATTCCTCTATGTGAATGAGAGATCCTATATTCTGTGTGCTCCAGTACTGCCTGAGACTCCAGTGAACTCTTTGTCAGAGCTATTACTCCTTCTAGGACAAAATTAATCAGCACCCTTTACACTGATATGGCAGGGCCTTGTTTCTTGGTTAAATCTGAGACTTAGCAGAAGAATCCAGCAGTGCTTATTGGATGAGGAAGACTCCCATCTCTGTCACGTAGATTTTATTCTATATGGGGCTCATTGGGTACTTCCTAACAACAGTGGCCAAGTTAAAACTTATAGCAGGGGATTTCTAAGACTTGTGGTATTTCATGATAGGAAACAAGACCCATAACTTTCCATAAATCATTAATTAGGAGATAGGTATTATCAATATGTTACAGTGTCATTTATTTCATCTGTTCAAGTTCCTACAGTGTTTCTACAACTATCTTACTCAGAATACTAACGTTATAGCTGTCCAAAGACCCAAGTTTAATAGTTTGAGATGTGGTAAACTTTAAGGAGACAAATGCTCTTTTGGGATTACTTCTCAGTACTTTCATATTGTGATGTACATTGTGGAGTTCTGAGACATGATCATAGAATGCAGTTTTATTTAGCCACAGAGCCCATTTTTGTTGTTATTGTTGAACAACTCATAACAGAAAAAGCCTACTTGAGAAGTCCTATTCTAATTCAGTGACCAAACATACATTGTTCTGTATACTCTGGGCAGTGTACTTCAGTACCATGATATAATCCCTTTACTCAGAGAACATGAGTTTAATGAAGTAAGCAAGTGGACATGGAATCCTGAGGTATTAAACTACTATTCGTGCTGTGAGACACATACAGATAAAAAGGAAGGGCCTCTTGAAGGAAAGAAGAGGAGATGTTTCATAGGCAGATGAGGAACTGGAAGAAGCTGCAGAGCTAAGGCAGAGATATGAGAACATGTGTCTGTGTGATGTCTGGCAAAGTAAGCAAGTGGTCAGGGTTATGTGCAGGATGCAAAACTTCTTATCCTCCTAAAAGGACAAAAGTGGGACACAGTCAAGATACGTTTTAGGAAGGCCATTGCAGTGTAGTTTAGAGACAGTGTGGAAGCAGTAAGAAGCTCTTTTAGGAGCTACAGTTTGATCCGTGTGATCATATAATTTCATTAACTGGCATTGAGAACCTATTTTTAGTATACTGAAGCAATGTTAAATTCTCTCATCTTTTCTTCATCTATTGAGATGATTAGGACTTTCTTGTATATTTTTTGTTAGTAAATTAGTTCCATTGATTTTTTTTAACATGGTTAAATACACATGACATAAAATTGACCACCTTTACTATTTAAGTATGCTCACACTGTTATGTAAACATCACTAGTTGATTTCCTAGACTTTTTCTAGCTTTCAGTTTAGGATAGAGGTACATTTTAAATTATAGCCCATGAATTTTCTTTTGTTTTTAGTTTTCAACTATTTTTTATTGAACACTTTATACCAAGTATTTTAAAAGATACTCTGTGTATCTGTCTGTCAGTTAATTTTTTATCCAACCCAACACTAAGGTTAGGCTAGGGATTATTATCTTCAATGTACAGCTCAGCAAACTGAGGACTGAATCAAGTTAAGACAGTTGTTCAAAGTCACACTGATTGGAAATGATGAACAGATATTTGTAAGTAGTCTGTTTTCTATGGAACATAATTCAGACTATTCTTCTGTACTTCTCCCAAGAAAAATCATGGAGAGGTCTTTGAAGTTTCAACCAAAATCTAGTTAGCAGATATTATGTCCATCCTGTTGAATTCTCCAAATCATTATTTAGTGGAAGGAAAGTGTAAAGTTCGTTATATGGGTGATGTGACCTAATAACCTTATATGCTGGTACAGTGGTGAGTTCATTATACAATTAAAAATGAATTCAGAGGTCATGTCAACCATAACTCATAATGACATTTTGATATTGCTTTATTGAGGAGTGCATAGTACTAATTAAAACAAGACAATAAATTAAATTCCCAGTGAGGATTCCTGAGCTAAATTTTGTTTTGTTGTCATATATTTTGATTTTAACATAGTATAGTTGTTTCAGAAATCCTGGTGGGAAGGCTGGCTATATCTGTAAATTATCACCTATGGAAACACTTAAGAGCTGACCTCTGTGTTCATTACAAAAAACTGAGATGAAGCTGGGTGCCAGTGGCTCACGCCTGTAAGCCTAGCTACTCAGAACACTGAGATCTGAGTATCATGGTTCAAAGCCAGCCTGGGCAGTAAAGTCCATGAGACTCTTATCTCCAATTAACCCTGAGAAAACTGGAAGTGGTGCTGTGGCTCAAGTGGTAGAGCACCCATCTTGAGCTGAAGAGCTCAGAAATAGTGCCCAGGCCCAGAATTCAAGCTCCACAACAAAAAAAAAAAAACTGAGATGAAATAATATATATAATTGTTTGTTGTTTTATGGTAAGGGAAAATGTCTTCTTGCTGGATTCTGGTGGCTCATGACTGTAATCCTAGCTACCCAAGAGGCTGAAATCAGAGGATCGTGGTTCAAAGCCAGCCTAGGAGGAAAGTCCATGAAACGCTTTTATCTTTAACCACCAAAAAAGCCAAAAGTGGAGGTATGGTTCAAGTAGAAGGGCCTTAGCCTTGAGCAAAAAAATCTCAAGAGACAGTGCCTAGGCCCTATTCAAGTGCCTAGGCCCTAATCAAGTGCCAGGACTCACTCCCTCCCCCACTAAAAGTATCCTGTTAAAACATTTAAAAGTAGTATGATTCTAGCAATATTTTAAATATATAAGATAATGTTTCTTACTAGGAGTCTGAATTTCCTGTAGCTAGGCATAAGGTATTGGGCTAAAGTCATAATTTAGATCATTTTTCAAAAAGTTTATAATACTTTCTGATTTGGTATAATTTATATTAATTGGAAAGATAGTCTTTATTTTTAATACATAGAAAGAAACCTGTATATAAATGTGTGACTTTTATCAAAAAAGATTTTTATGAATACCATGATACTTCTTATTTTGTTTAATTACATCATTTTTGAAAGAAAATTTGACCATTTCACTTAATTGTATTTACATTATTTTTCCAAAAGTTTTAAACATAATTTTAAATGTTTATATCTTGAAGGAATAAGATGAGTGTAGAATGGGAAGGGAATTTACTCAGACAGAATATCGTGAGCAGGCATTATTGAGGAAGTAATATTAAATTAAGAGAGGCAATTAGTTATGTGAGACCTACAAAAAAAGTAACAGTATCAGAGACTCCAAAATGGTAAGGGGCTAGATGGATTTCCAGAAGAAGGGTGTTATGGCTGGAATGCAGGAAACCAAAGACTACAAAGGAAGCATGCACATTGGGAGAGGGCAGGTCACCAGTGCCCTCTACACTGTCCAAGCAAATGTGTTGTATGTTAATACAGTAGGGACCACTTGGAGGTTTGTATCCAAAAGAATGATGGGGTGTGATTTCATTTTTCTGAATGGTCTCTCTGCTGTAAGGAATGCATGAAAGCAATATTGGAAACAGTTGTAAAAAGTTGAGCAAACATTATAGTTCAGTTCAGGATTGGAATTAGAAATGAAGGAAATTAAGTGGATTTAAGATAAATTACAGAGATATAAGTGATATGTGTTGCTGATGCATTAAATATAAGGATAGGAGAGAGGTAAGGCTCCAGAATAACTCCAGTATTTATTTATTTATTTATTTATTTTTGGATAAGGGAGAATAGCATGGCAGCATTCTTCACCAAGGAGGATAAGAGGTGGTGAAAATTTGAAAGTTCAACTTTATACTCTTTTAAGATTGCATTTCCTATCATGATACGAATTCCAGGAGATATGTCAAGAAGACTGGATGTTCAGTGAGACATTGCCCTCATAGCACTTCAAAGATAAAACATCAATAGGTTACCTTCGGGCACTATGGTAGTAGTAGAGATTGTAAGACTTGAGTACAAGAGGACAGGAAGAAGCGAGGGAGGAGACGGGGGGGGGGCAGATGTCATCCTCAGTGGACTGGGCTTGGAAGGAAAGACAGCACAAATAAAAGTCATTGCTAGAAAATAAAAAAAGGACTTGTGCTGTTATAAATTCTGTACAGTGCTTTTTATAGCTTCAGAATAGTATATAGTACCTATTTGAGAACAAACAAATGAGTTAGAAATAAGGTAGTAGCAGGCAAGTTTTTTAACTTGTAGAATTAATTTCCCATTTGTAATCTTGTTTTATTCTCTTAAATATGTAAGGGAGGAATTGTTATTATAACATTGATCTGATAGTTAGTGTAATGTCCCTGAGAGAATTTTGTATTTAAAACCAAAATGTAATCTCAACACATCATATGGTCTAAATTATATTCAGTTCACTGTATGGAGATGTTTATTTTATTAAACATAGAGTAGTTTATCTTCAGATAATTTCACAAACTTTTCTCTGAGTTTGAACTCAGGACCTTACTTTTCCTCAGCAGGAACTCTACCACTAGATCCATGTTCCAGTCCTCTTGGCTTTAGTTTATTTTTCATTTTCCCCCCAGGACCATTCTCAGACTGTGATGCTCAAACCACTGTCTCCCAAGTAACAGATTACAAGCCGATCCCACAAGATTCTGCCCTAATTTCACAAACATTTTAACACTTACTTTAAAATATTTTGTTGGAAAAACTGTTTTTATTGATGAAACATGTTACTCTTTTTTAGTTGTGAATCTATAGTGATTATTAAGGTGAATTTGAAAATTATCTATAAAACCATATCTATACTCTTTTTATTCCATAGGGATGACAGTGAGTGCTAATAAAGATGGCTTGGGGATGATTGTTCGAAGCATTATTCATGGAGGTGCCATTAGTCGAGATGGCCGGATTGCTATTGGGGACTGCATTTTGTCTATCAATGAAGAATCTACCATCAGTTTAACCAATGCCCAAGCACGAGCCATGTTGAGAAGACATTCTCTCATTGGACCTGATATAAAGTAAGTCTTATTTGAACCCTAGTTTGGCTTAGGAAATGCAGGAGTTTCAGTTAATTAGAATGTTTTTAGGAGATACTCTATTTAATGTGCTTAGTAGTCTCTTTAAGATTATAACACTACTGAAATTTTGCCAACAGTATTACTTGGCATTTTTATTTTACTTCTCCAATGGTTCCTATACAAACCCCGCCTGAGAGAGATACTTCAGAGAGAGAGATGTGAATTTTTACAGAGCTTCTCAGAAAGAAGTGCAGACTAGACTCCTGTTGTCTCCTGATTGTCCTATATAAATTCTAGAATCAAGCCCTTTCTTTATAAGGGCTCACCATGAAAAACATTAAATATGACAGCATGTATCTGATCTTTGTCTTTCTTGAACTATTTCATGACCCAAAGGGATTCACTCATGAATTTAATATCATTTACTAGAGGTTATATATGTTGGCAGGAAGTGCTTTTAAAATTTTCCATAATCCTATAATGTTCTAAAAACATGTAATATATTGACTTAGTGTTTACCTTGCTAAACATTTTTTGAGTCAGCATGAAAATCAACTTATGACTTCATTGTCACACCTCATCAGTGTGGCTTTTTCCTCTAATATTAATCACTGAATATTTGTGTTTAATGTATAAGGGTTAAAACCATAAAATAAGAACTCAGGAAAAGATTCTTTACCTTAAACAGATGTAATGATTACCAGTACAAGGGACTTTTCTTTATTAATGTTGGTTTACTGAGGGCATTCTGTTCTACTGGTTCCTTTGCAAAGTATGTATTGCTAAAGCTTAGGTAAAAAGACCTATATTTGCAATCTGTTTTCCATTCTTCATCAATAAAAATTGTAGAAGGGAACATACCATTTTGAGTGATTTCTGCTTTTTATCAAGATTTTTTTTTGGTCAGCTTCACTATGTTTTGGTCAGCTTCACTTTTATGTTTTTTGCTTGCCTCTTTTACTTCTCTTTTTCAGTAAAGCAGTTCATATGACTATTCCTTAATTATCTTCAGTGAAAGTAAACATCATTAAAAATGTCGATCCCTCTGTCACACAAAAGCAGAGATGCTTGAAGTGCTTTCCTCACCACTATGACCATGTTACTTCATTTTGCCTAAAAGAGGAAGTGCTGCAGGAGTTGTAGCACACAGAATAGGTTGGCACACAGTGCAGATACCTAATAACTGCAATTGGATTTGCAGTGGTATGATGTACATGCTGGGCTGTGTGCCTGACACACGTCCCCGGCACATGTTTTGATATTCTGAGCACTTAGCATCAATGCTTGATGCTAGCCTTACTTTTCAGTTCTACTGACTGCTTCAAAGTAAGACCTTTGTGACATCAGTTTGATGTAAGTCATGTGTATAGTCAGTTCTAGAGAAGTTTGGAGGCATATTTTTTAAGCCGTCTTCCCTAATATTTTCATTCTGTGTATTTATATAGGTCTTCTACCCTTGACTTGCTGATTCAGCAAGTCAAAATACCAATTCCTGTGGGCAACAGCTTTATTTTGACCTTGAAAGGATAACTAGGTGTCTTAAAAATTTGCTTTATAATCTCAGGGATCAAAATGTCCTGTGAAATTTTCCATTTAAAACAAACAAAAAAATCTGTAATCTTTCTTCCCCTGGAAATCAACTTGTCAGTCAATCTCACACGTATACACATCACACAATCATAACCACAAAATGCATGGATTTCTTCTTAACTGTCCTACTAATGCTCTGATTTAGATGAATAGAATCCACTCATTGAGTAAGTAATAGAGAGAAATAAAAGAAAGTCAAGTCATCTTTACATAATCCTTTTCCAGAAAGAGCAGTGTGTTAGACGGTGAAACAAAAATAGGTGCTTAGATTGACTGGGGTTGAGTAGTGGGTTTTCTGTGTTATGCATTGAGTGTTTTGGGTCACATCCATTTCTGTCACTTACCTTTCAAGAAGCAAAAGTTAGAATTACCTTAAAAGCTATATGAGCAATCCTCCCAAAAGGAAAGTATGCTGTTTCATTATTCTGAGTGGAATTGTAACACTGCCTCTGGCCAGTTCAGCTTTTTTATACTACTGCCTTGCACCTAAGCTTGTTCCTCATCACCTTCTTTATTTCTTATTATAAACCTTACTTAATCTGGGGAGGTGGTAGTGAGAGGTCTATGGTAGAGACTTAAAAATAAAAGAATCTGGCTCAGTTACATAACTATTGGCTATGTTTAAAAAAATGCTTATTGAGACAATGCACTGGCTTTCTTTTTTGCTCTTTACTATAGATAGCTAGGAACTTTGTGTGCATTCATGCATGCCTGGATAGATCATTTGAGTTTCAAGAGTTCAAGAACAGCCAGTTTAAGTTCCAGGTTTCATTATTTTGTATGGAAGCCAGATGTGAAGCCTCACCAGAATGCATTTTGTTTCACTTCTCCCTCCACCTTGCCAGGAGCTCTTATATTTCTGTAATAATAGCCAGAGTTTTGTGCTTAGCAGCAGCTGCTTATAACATCTGCCAGATAATTACTGAGCTGAATCAGAATTCACCTGCCTTAACCTCAAGTGTGGGATGAATTCCTGATCAAGGAATAAAAGATTGATTGCAGTCCCATTTTTCCATGCTTGTTAATAATCACTGCTATAGACACCAGTAAAGAGCAGATGCTTTTCTGGGGGAGGTGTAGATGAGAGGAGGTGGAAAGCAGGGGGGGCGGGGGGGGAATAACCAGGAGCACCCACTTTTAACTACATATGTATGCATCTCACATTCAGCACAAGACATTGACATTTGTTAACACCATTGTAAAAAGATGCCACGGCGTATGCTTCACATTCTAGATTTTCTTCAGCACCTGCTGACGATCGAGCCCCCTTTTATATGTGAGTATCGGTGATTCAAAAGCTCATTATGGCTGTGTGTTGCAAGTTGTCTGTGAAAACCATTGCGTGTTTTTGTAGTCCCAATGAAAGGATAGATCAAGATATAGATTCAGTGTATACATCCTTGGCTTTTCCCCTTCATTTATATAAGAACATAAATTCCAACAGAGCTATGCTACTGTTCACGTTTTCATGTTGCCATGATGACTAGGAACTCATTTCCAGCCACTCAGCTTTCAAGCATTTCTGTGAGGGAATGATCTTGTCGGCCTGTGCAGGAGCACTCTATATTAATAGCTGTTTCACATTTTGACATCACTGACAGTAGTTGTTTTTCTTCTTCACGTGTAACCAGAGTTGGTTTATGTTAGTTTATGTTTGAGAATTGTGAACTCAATTCTCAAAAAAGCTGTCTCTGTGCATTTATGCGGTTTGTAACTCAGCTTTGATGTTCTCTGTTGGTGATCTGGTAGTTTTTGTGTGGTCTTGTGACCCAGCATGTGTTGGAATTGCTCTGCATGTGCTGTTGCATTGTGGGATTATGAGAAGCTTGTTCTGGTGACTTGGTTGTTGACACTGAGCTAAATATCTGTGGAAACTGCCTTCTGTTTTTTGTTTTGGTTTTTGGTTTTGTTTTTTTGGCAGCACTAGGGTTTGAATTAAGAATTTTGCACTTGCTAAGCAGGTACTTGAGCCAACACTCTAGCCCTGAGCTTTCTTCTTTTGCTCTTTCTCACTAGTAGCCAAAGGATCAGGAAAATGTTTGTAAAAGCTACTATGCCCCAATCTTTGTCAAAAGAAAAATGGCTTTAAGCAAATGTAGAGGAAAATTCATCTTCAACATTATTTGAGATACTATTTTATTATTATTGCATTTATGTCCTATATTTGCCTCTTACTTTTGCTGTTTTTTTTCCTTTTTTTTTTGGCTTATTCTCCTTTTTCACTGTTTTTGATTTCTGTACCCTTTGCTTGTATATAAGTTTCCTGTTTTTTCTAAAGGGTTTTTTTTTAATGAGTTTTCTGGACTCTTCAATAATAATACCAGTTTTATGAAATACAGTGTTTTAAATTTTAGTGTTTTAAATTTCTTTTTATTTTATAAATACGAGCCTTTCCTGATGTAATGCACTGCATATTTTTGACACATTAATTTTGAAGGGATGACAGCAGCTTTTCTATTCTTTTTTTGTAACCTAAAGGTATTTTATAGATGCATAATCTCAGTAAGGCCAAAGTTAGAATGCAGCTCTTTTGTGTGTGTGTGTGTGTGTGTGAGTGTGCGTGTGTGCGTGTGTGTGTGTGTGAGTGTGTGTGTGTGTGTGTGTGTGTGTGTGAGTCATGGGGCTTGAACTTTGGGCCTGGGCTCTGTTCCTCAGCTCTTCAGTTCAAGGTAGGCACTCTACCACTTGAGCCACAGCACCACTCCTAGTTAATTGGTGGTTAATTGGAGATAGGAGTCTCATGGACTTTTCTGCCTGGGCTGGCTTTGAACTCGTTTCTCAGATCTCAGCCTCCTGAGTAGCTAGGATTACAGGCATGAGCCATTGGTACCTGGCTTAGAATGCAACACTTTTACCCTGCCTTTATCATAAATCTCCGACTCTTAAGTATTCTGTTTCATTTTTTAGTCCCTGAGGTAAGTGTGACAAAGATTCACAAGGGTCTGCTTGTTCTGTTGGAATGAAAGGAGTGATCAGGAGCATAGTCTTACATTTGCACAGTGCTGATGCTCAGCTTAATGGGTGCCTCCCACAGGTAAGTATGCCAGTGTTTGAGGGCACGGTGGTACAGCCACAGTGTTTTACTTCCCATCATAACCCCACTGGGGGTGGTAAAGGAGTGAATACTTTTTATATAATAAGTAATGTATTCAAAATTATAATCTTCTTGATAAATTATGTCATTATCATTTTTAAAAGTTCTTATATGACAACAATAATCCTCGTGCCCTTTCCCTCCAGTGCAGAAGTTTTGTAGACTTACTATCTTAGTGGTTAAATTATTGATCAGTGCTTTAATGGGCTTTTTGCACTGCCCTTATGTTTTAAATATTTTTTTCTTAGTTACACAATAAGTCATGCTGACTTCAGGTATTAAACTAATTGGGGATGTAGAACAGTCTTAACAGTTGTATAGCTAAGCAGCATTTAACTTGAATTTTCAGATGATCAGTTTCTAAACATGGCTGTATTCCACATCTCACAGCCTTTCTTTCACCTCAAATCTAATCAGTACTTAGCTTTTGAAGTGTAAACAGTAGGCTTTTCTTCCAATCGAAAGTGAACATGGCTGTAAGAAATGGCTACAAATTAGTTTGACTCTCCTTAAACTTAGGTGGCTTGGCTTCATACTTCAGACCTGACTGTTCATAACTTAATAGAGCTAATGTAGTTATTAAGTATAGTATGTAATTAAGCATTAAGTGTATTATGGAATAATATAAATAAATTTGGGAATTCAGTGTTTAATTGAGTTCACCTAATTTGTTTCTGCAAGGAAACTCAAATATCTTTAGATAGAAATTAATGTCCTCATTGACATCACTATCAGTAGTAATAGTAGTAGTAGTATCACACTATTATATACAATATTGGATATCAAACCCAGTGCTTCATACATGGCAGGCAGATATACATAACCACGGAAATATATCCCCAGTCCTCTAAAGAGTTGTGGAGCTTTCTAATTTCAAAAATTGACTATTAGCATTGACTATAATATATATACATATATGAATATATCCATATATATGTATAGATATGTGGCTTTAGCAGCAATATTTAGGATTTTTAGTTTTAGTGATTTTTTTGCTTGTGACATATTTTTCTGAGCATACTGATTAAATGAAATATGTGAGAAAGTCTAGACAAAGGTTCAGTATTTTTTTCCATGTTTTGAAATATTTTCCATCAGGTAGGCTCTTGTTCCCCTTTACTTTATGGATTGTGTTTTCTTCCAGAATTACTTACATACCTGCAGAGCATTTGGAGGAATTTAGAATAAGCTTGGGACAGCAATCTGGAGGAATAATGGCCCTGGATATTTTTTCTTCATACACTGGAAGGTGAGTGAATCACATAATCTACAACAAATGAATAGTACAGCAAATACTAAATAAGAATTTTGAGCCCATTTTCAAACAGCATAAAAACAACTACATGTTTGGAATTCCTTTTCTTCTAAGATTTTTTAAAACATTCTCCCCTTTTTCTTCAATTACTTAAGCAATTATAATATAGTATGGAAAATTTGGGAAATACATGAACATTGAGGCCAAGAAATTAAAATAATCTCCAATCCTACCATCCAATACAGCACTTCTAACATTCTTTTTTTGGGGGGGGGTCCGATTGTGGGGCCTGAACTCTGGGCCTGGGCGCTGTCGCTCAGCTCTTCAGCTCAAGGCTAGCACTCTACCACTTGAGCCACAATGCCACTTGCAGCTTTTTTCTTTTTGCTTATGTGGTACTGAGGAATCAAACCCAGGGCCTCAGGCATTTACGGCAAGCACTCTACCACTGAGCCACCTACCCAGCCCCAACATTCTTAGCTTTAGTAATTTAATCCAGATATATTATTTCATCAATTCCTTGAAGCTTGTTGTCTCATTGATTTTATGCAATTTCTTTTCTTATTTTATAAGGGATTTATGTATTCTTTAATTATCACACAAAGTCAGAAACTTTTTTGTGTGTGCTGGTTCTGGAGCTCAAACTCAGGGCTTGGGCTCTGTTCCTGAGTTTCTTTGGGTCAAGCCTAGTACTCTACCATGCCTCTTTGTGGTGGTTTATTGGAGATAAGAGTTTCACAGACTTACCTGCCTGGGCTGGCTTCAAATCGTGATTCTCTGTTTTTAGCCTCCTATGTAGCTAGGATTACAAGCATAAACTATCAGAGACTGGCTGCCCAGAAACATTTTATAGTAAAAATACAGTCTTTTGAGCTGAGCATCTTAGTATAGAAATGTACATAAGCACATTAGGAAATAATGTGTTTACCTTTTTTTTTTTTTTTTAGCTAGTGCTAGAGCTTGAACTCAGGGACTAGGCTCTCTGAACATGTTGGTTCAAGGTTAGCACTCTACCACTTGAGCTACAGCTCCACTTCCTGCTTTTTGGTGATTAATTGGAGATAAGAATCTCAAAGACTTTCCTGCCCAGGCCGGCTTCAAACTATGATCCTCAGATTTTAGCATCCCAAATAGATAGAATTACAGGTATGAGCCACATGGGTGCCCAGCTTACCTTAAGTTTTTTAAAGGCTGTTGATATACAATGTATTAAGAACCTTTAAAGAATAAAGGGAATGTTTCTCCTTTCTTAGGACAGGCAGGACTGGGGATGGAAGCTGCTGCTGACTGAGTACAGACCAAGGGGAGAAATAATTTTTTTTTTTTTTGGTCGGTCGTAGGGCTTGAACTCTGGGCTTGGGCACTATCCCTCAGCTCTTCAGCTCAAGGCAAGCGCTCTACTGCTTAAGCCACAGTGCCACTTCTGGTTTTCTAGTGGTTTATTAGAGATAAGAGTCTCATGGACTTTCCTTGCTCGGTCTGGCTTTGAACTGTGATCCTCAGATCTCAGCCTCCTGAGTAGGTAGGATTACAGGCGTGAGCCACCAGCGCCTGGCTCAGAAATAGTATTAAATTGCTTTTCTGTCATGAATTCTGTCATTTTATCTTTCATTTATGGGCCTGTTTTTTCAGTTGCACCTGGTAACTGAATATTAAATTTCTCTTCAAGTGTACTGCTGTTGAGAAGATTGACCCTTGTAAGTAATCTGAGGTGTCAGAATAGCTCTATATTTCTAAGAGCATGTCAGAACATCCTAGGACCACATGATGTCCAGTGGCCCTACATGAATCATGAGACTCTATCATGCTTTCCCCTGTACATGACACGGGATCACAGCATATAGGGAAAGGAAAGTCATGCTATGTGTTTAATAAAGGGAAAGAATGCTATGGTCCTTCAGGCCTCATGAATTTTATGGGAAAATGAGTACCCTGTCCAGAATTAAGTCTCACTGTACTCTAAAATTTCCATCTCAGGCTTAATGACAGGGATTGATTCCCAGGACTTCCTGTCAAAATATCAAAATGGGAGAGCAATCATTCCAACATCCTTCTGAAAGAACCTTTCAAACGACACAATTACAGAATGTACTGTTAATATCTTAATCCTACATTACAGGGACTTAACATTCAAGCAATTAGAAAGAAAGCTGTTTTTATCACTGAGCATCCTTCAGCCCAAGAAGGAGAGCAGCCTTGATTGCTATTGATGTCCTGATGCTTAAAACAAAGCAGCCTACCTCTTATACAAGAGTAGTCTGCAGCAGTGGGATTAAATCATTTTCCAAAGTCCGAAAGCTAGTACATGTTAAAGCCAAACTGAGAATGTAAGCAGTCAGACACTTTATTTCTAAATGTTGGATCCAAAGAAAGAGTTGCACAAGGCCATAAAACATGTGCACAGAAGAGCTCAGGTTTTATTGTAGAATAGCCTCAATCCCACCCTCCCTGCTACACTACAATATGTCTTTGTCCCAGTTATTTTACTTTGAGCTTATATGCAGATTTAGAAAGTCAGTTATTTTACTTAGCAGGAAATTGTTTGTCAACACAGTAACACAGAGAAAAGAAATCTAATTCTTTCTTGGTTGTCGAGTGCAAGAAGAAAAATAGTTTATTCTGCTCTTAGGATCACTTGACTTTTGATTCCCTGAAACCACACACTAAGATGGACAAAGAATTCTTGGCCCATTTAGAGTAGCATATCTGGTCATGGAAAAGATTAAAGATTAGAAAATAATTTGAAGAGACTGGTGTTTGTGTATCAGAGGATTTAAATTATTTGTTTTTTCACAGCTAACAGTACAAGAAGACCATGAGCAATGTGGCCAGGAGTGTTTTTGACTAGCTCCTTGAGTTTAGTCTTTTGCCCTCAGTATCTGTTCTAACCATAGTTGTCAGCATATATTTTAGAGACCCCTCCCTTCCTAATTTCTTATTTTTTGGGGGGGGGTCTGGTCGTGGGGCCTGAACTCTGGGCCTGGGCGCTGTCCCTCAGCTCTTCAGCTCAAGGCTAGCACTCTACCACTTGAGCCACAGCGCCACTTCTGGCTTTTTTTTTTCTGCTTATGTGGTGCTGAGGAATCGAACCCAGGGCCTCAGGTATTTAAGGCAAGCGCTCTACCACTGAGCCACCTTTCCAGCCCCCTTCTAATTTCTTATTCCATGTGCCTTTCTAGTCAATTTTTATGTCATTGTCTCCCTAGTTGTTTGTTGAGTTTAGCCTTTACTTTCACCCCTTTGCCCTAGAACGTTCACATGAGGGCTTCTCTTGGACTGTTTTTCTTTCATTTCCTTGATGTAAGTTTTAGACTGTCCATTCTTAGAAATGTATCCAACTGTCTTGCCCTCTGGTCAGACTTACTTTTGGGAACCCAGCCTCATCTAAAACCAAATTTTTCAGCTTGCATAGAAGGTGAGTTTGACACAAAACCAATGAATGAGTTGGGTCTATAGCACATAGAATCCATTGTTACAGTTTTAAAATATCTATTGTTGCAAGATGAATCATCCCAAAAGCCATATTTTGAAATATGAAATACTAGAGACTTTATTTTACAGTTAACAGGCTGCAGGCCGCCTGTTGTTGTTACAAAGGCCTGCAGCCCCCAAATACACGTAACACAGCTAGGAAAAAAATGCTAAACAGGAAAGAAATAACAAAAACAATACCAAAAGCCAATTCAGCTTCAATGGAGAGCTGAACCAGAATTCCATGATGACTGGAGGTGAGGCAGGAGACAGGACACAGGACACCATCATGTAGACACATGTGGCATGGTGCAATGCTGCCTGGGCTGGTCCAGGTCTAAAAAGGTCAGTGTAGGGGGCAGATCCACAGGAAATTCCCAGTCCCAGACACTCGACTGACAGATTCAGTAACCTATCAGCCAAGTGTCTGCCCCTGCCTCCAGGGATCTGGGCACACCCATCACCCAGGAGGTAGGTGATGGTCAGGGGATCTCTTCCTTCGGCATGACAAGATGACAGACCCTGTAATCTACCATGTGGCCAATATGGTGCCAGCCAGACCTGACCTTCTTACTTCACTATCATTAAGGTCAGATGAGGAAAGTTGTTTTTAAGGAGAACGTGGACATTTATTTGCTCACCAGAAATGCTGTGAACCATGTTTAAGTCAGGTGTATTATTGGGATTAGATGACCTCTGACCTACCTCAAAGTAATTTGAGAGAGTGCACTGTTCCTGTCAGTGGAGAATGGATATAATTTGAACACATACTTTCTTTAGACTTTATAGTTCCTGTAAGATCAAATATTTATAATTTAATAATCTTCTCTGCTTTAAAAGAACTTGTGGACATGTTGTTTTGACCAATATTATAATGGATTTTCTTTGCCATTTTAACCATTCTCTATTGCTTTCACAGAGTTATTTATTGATGCAAAGTATACCTTTCAAGAAATAAAAATGTTGGGACCCATCTTAATGTTAGAACCCAGTGAGCCTATGTGACTCCACCCTGGTTAAACAATCATCTTATTATTTACAAGTTTAAGAAAAATGTGGATTGCAAGTCTCTGATAACAGAGTCTAGAGGCCAGGTGGACACATCCAATCAGTAGCAGCACAAATGTAACACCTGCCACCAAGGAATGCAACCCCACCCCACCCCTCACCCCGCCAAACCCATGTGATAGGCTGACCAAAGTGATAGGCTAGTTTAAACAACTGCTTAGGGATAAGTTGTAACCTCATTGGTCACCTGAGTGACCAAGTAGCCGGACTGTGCAATTTTGTGCGTGTGTTGCAATGCTATTGGCCATCTGCATGTGGCCAGCCTAACTGCATGGCCTGTTCCCTATAAAAATTAGCCCTTGCAGATGAATGGGGTTCGCTCTCTGCTGAGGCGGCCCTGACTGGTCAGTCTGTTTCTAGATGCTTGGCACAAAATATAGCTTTGGCTTTTACTTTGTTTCAGTCTCGGTCCTTTGATCATGGACCCCAATATTGAGGGGCCACCCCAATAAAAATAGTCTTGACAGTTATTATTATAGTTTAGTTTAAAACCAGTGAACAGACAGGACTCTTTTTTACATAATTAGTATTTGGCAAAAATCTAAGTTTGTATGAAAAGTGATAATAGATGGGGCACACAATTTATTGTAAACTATTTTCTATAAAGAACATTCTAGCCCACAATGAAGCTGGACCCTAAGCATTTTCTTCTAAAATGGAAAGAGCAATGCTGTTCACCCTTAGGAAGTGACGCTACTAAATTCCTGGCATACTTGATGATAAATTCTTTCAGAGCAGAGAAAAATGTGCATGCTTATAACCAATATAATCCTGCTACTAGCTTTTGGTGCATGGTAGGAATTCAGGAAGTATTTGTTGAATCGTTTTCCCTTAAAATTCCAGCTTTTATTAGCTTCTTCACATTCTTTTCTTTCATTTTTTCCAGGAAATCATTTAGTATCTCTTCTTGCCTTTTTGTCTTGTTGCTCTTCTACGTAATGAAATTTAAGTGCTTGTAAATAGTCTCTCTCTTCCTCTTTTAGTTTCAGGAATGGTTTCTTTCATGGGAAAGGAGTTTTAATTTTGAGAATTTCACATTTAGAATAAACCAAAAGCCTGAGGTTCACATTGTGTTTATAAACCCTGTAACAACTAAGTATAGCATACTGGTCTCTTTTGAAATTCCTTCTGTTTTTCAGCAGAGGAAAATAGGGTGGCATAGCTGTTACGTTGGAAGAAAAGTGTGGGAATAACCCCAGAGTTAAGATCTTCATGAAGAAAAACTCTTATACCAAGCTCCTCTTTAGACCTTGCCAAGTCTGTAAGATATTTCACTGTGACTGCATCCCTTCAAGATCCAGAAACCAGAAAAGGGCTTGGATTCAGAAATTCTTCCATTGTGGGGCAGAAGGGAGGGGTAACAGCAGGGAGAGTGGAATGTCAGGGAAGGGGAGAAGAATGGAAACACATTTGGCCTTAAATTAGCATACATTTTCCCAAAAACCCCACAGTGAAATAAAATTACTGGTCATAGTTAGATTTAGTTTATCAAATTGGTTAGTAAAAGATTTCTTTAAGATCCATTTTGCAAAGACCATCACTTAGGGGAATCAAAGAATTTCTGTTTTAATACTCTTGAGTTAAAATAACTATGTTGCTGCTTATCCAGTACTTCTTTTTTCTTTACTAAAATTACTTTCTACTGTAAGCTTGATTAAAAATCTTCGTTGGTGGTGGTGCAGTAGTAGAGCACTTGCCTTGCATGCCTGAGGCCCTGGGTTCAATTCCTCAGCACCACATAAGAAAAAAGCCGGAAGTGACACTGTGGCTCAAATGGTAGAGTGCTAGCCTTGAGCTGAAGAGCTGAGGGACAGCGCCCAGGCCCAGAGTTCAGGCCCCACGACCGGACCCAAAAAAAAAAAATCTTCATTGGTAACTGTAAAAAAAAAATGTTCTACATTTTTAGCCTAACCAATCATGTTAAGTACCTATGAAACAGTATTGCATGGGATACTCATTGTTTAACCCTTTAACCAGAGACATTCCAGAATTACCAGAACGGGAAGAAGGAGAAGGAGAAGAAAGTGAACTTCAGAATGCAGCCTATAGCAATTGGAATCAGCCCAGGCGGTAAGAGAAATTTCTGTCTTCTACTCACAAAGTAGATAGATATGTTTAAGGCAGAGGTGTCATTTCAAATGCTATAGCTTGCTCCTTGTGACACGACAAGTTGTTTGATATTCCTAACCTTCCACTTCTTCATGTGTACATAGAGAAAATAATGTGTATTTAACAGGGTGAAAACTAACATATATTTAAGAATGTGGAATACAGTAGAGCCAAAGTAGCTAGTAATACTTTGTAAAGGTGTGTGTGTGTACACACATGTTCACATGCCCGTCCTAAAGCTTGAATTCAGGGCCTACGCACTGTCCCTGAGCTATTTTGCTGAAGATTGGTGCTCTTATAATTGAGCCACAGCTCCACTTCCAGCTTTTTCGTGGTTAATTAGAAATAAAAGTTTCATGAACTTTCCTGTCTGTGGTGGTTTCAAACCATGATCCTTAGATCTTAGCCTCTTGAGTAGCTAGAATTACAGGTGTGGGCCACCAATGCCTAGAACTCTCTAAAGAGTATTAGTTTTCTCTTGTATTTGTAGAAATCAGATATTGAAAAAGATATTCTAAATGATTATGTAAGCAGTTTTGTTTTCACAGAGTTAAGCTAAAGCACATTATACTACTATGTTTCACATATAGCGGAAAAGATGACTTTACTTTTCTATTGTCTAATATATAACTGTGCATCACAAAGCATGTGAATATATTTGTGCTGAATAAAATCAACTTGAGTCCCATTTGTTAAGTCCTGATGTAGACTCAGATAGGAATTTGATGATTTTTCTGGATAATAGGGAAGTAATAATGTACTTGGCTATGCAAGATTGAGAGACACATGAAACAAAGAATAATATAAAGCATTTTGAATTAATTAAAAATGTAGTAAGTATTGGACATTCTCTCCAAACATCTGAAATTAACTGTTACCACAGTGTCTTGTACTTCATAAGCTTTAATATTTGTTATATAAGAATAAAAAATGCAGGGGGGTGGGGGGGAGGATGGGAAGGGATGGGAAGAGGAAACAAAGGAGGAGGCTACAATGCTTGATAAGAAATGTACTCATTGTCTTGCCCATGTAATTGTAACCCCTCTGTACGGTATTTTCACAATAAAAAAAAAAGCATAAAAAATGCTCCAGGGATGGAATAGTATGTGATGATTTTCTCTATTCACAAGTAAACTTAAATACATCCATCTATCATATTTTCAAAATATGTCATTTTCAAAGAAACAGCATTTCCACACATTCATTTGTGTGTGTGTGTGTGTGTGTGTGTGTGTGTGTGCACGCGCTCACGTGCGTGCGCACTCTCAAGCCTATCCTGGGGATCTCAGGGCCTATGCACTGTTCCTTAGCTCTTTTGCTTAAGGCTGATTTACCTCTTGAGGCACAGCTCCACTTTTGGCTTTTTGGTAGTTGAAATGATAGAGTCACACAGACTTTCTGCACTGTCTGGCTTTGAACTACAATCCTCAGATCTCAGCCTTCTAAGTAGTTAATATTACAGGTGTGAGCCACCAGTGCTTGACCAAAATAGGTTTTTAATTTAAATTTCTTCAATAGACATTTGGCTTACTTCAAAAACAAATTCAGTGCTGTCTCTCTACAATACTTCCAACATTGGGCAAAGAATATAGAAGTGCTAGATCTCTGGCAAAAAAATTTATCAGGTGGTGTCTTATTTATTTGTAGATAGAAGTAAAAATAATGTCAATGATATTATTCTGTAGTAGGTTAATATTATAGATAAACTTGAATTTTGCTGGAAAACCATAACACCCTAGGGGGGAGGGAAGATAAGTTGTCCTAATTTTAATAACAATGAAAGGAAAAATACTTTTAAGAAGGCAATGTACAAAATGACTAGAGTGAATGAAAATTGTATTTGAAACCCAGTTTTGACTTTGCCTAATTTGCCTAATCTTTTGCTAGGTTTCAGCAACATTTGTAAACTGGTTTAATAACAGACTTCATATTACAGACAGTCTTGGCCTAGTCAGTAATGACATAATATTGATGACTAGTTACTAAGTAAAAAGTTGTTGAGCACAGAAACGATAAAATTTTCTTACAAGAAAGAACATAATTGAAGGACTGGAAATTTTTTTATATTTTTTTCCTCAGCTTTGATCATCACATTAACTCTGAAAATGAAAACTCCCTTCTGCATAGAAAGTGTTTGAAGTTTTGGTAAATCCTTTTAGACAAGATAGTCTATGTTTACTGATAGAAGCATTTAGTTACTTTGGGGGGAAAGTGTATAGGTTATAAAAAGGAAATTGACCAGAATAATTAGCATTTTTAGCAAACAGGGACATGTTCCATATCCCTGGAGTTATGATGGGATGGGTCATCCACTCATGAAATTGACACTATTTACTGTGTTGTAGGAAAAGGAATACTTTTTAACAAATCATTAGTTTTACAATTGTAAAATAAGCTAGGCACCTGTGGCTTATGCTTATAATTCTAGCTCTTCAGGAAGCTGAGATAGGGAGGATCACAATCCAAAGCCTGCCAAGGCAGAAAATCCCCTAGGCCTTATCTCACAGTTAGCAAAAAAAAAAAACCCGACTAGAGATACGGCTTATGGATAGATCACAGCCCAGTAACAAGTATGAGGCTAAATTCAATTTTGAATGTGATGTGATGTCCATTTGTAGATTTGGTATCATACATACATATCATTTCCTAGCTTTTTGTTTTTGTTTTTGCCAGTTGTGACACTTAAATTCAGGGCCTGGTCACTGTCCCTGAGCTTCTTTTGCTCATGGCTAGCACTCTATTATTTGAGCCACAGAACCATTTTGGCTTTTTCTGCGTAGTTTATTGGGGACAAGAGTCTCACAGACTTTTCTGTCTGGGCTGGATTGGAACTGCCATCCTCAGTTCTTAGCCTTCTGAAGTAGCTAGAATAATGGTTTTTATTGCTATTAGAATTCTGAGTAGAATTCTGAGTAGAATTCTGTCTATTACTTTATTCTTATGTATGTAAATTTATCTTAATTCTATATCCAGAAGTGAAATTGCCAGCCCAAAGATATATATATGTATATATATTCTTTTTTCCCATTAGAACTTAGCCAGACCCTGGTGGCTCATGCCTGTAATACTAGATGAGGGTCTCAGGAAGCTGCGACCTGAGAATTTTGGTTTAAAGGCAACCTGGGAAAGAAAATCTATTAGACTCTTATCTCCAGTTAGTTACCCAAAAAGCTGGAAGAGGAGCTGTAGCTCAAGTAGTGGACCACTAACCTTGAGTACAAAAGCTCAGGGACAGAGCCCAGACTCTGAGTTCAAACCCTTGTTTTGGTACAAAAAATAAGTTGTCAAAATTCTCTTGAAGATGGCTATACTAATTCAAATTTCTATTTCCAGTATATGAGTTCCTTTTCCATTGCACCCTAACAAGTCACATAAATGTTTTTTTAAGAGTATTTTGTCAATGGTTGGAAAATGACATCTTGTCTTAGTAATTATGAAAAGATTGATGCTCAGTGGTCTTGTGAATTAACTTGGTATTTTCTCCTATTACTGCAGAAATCACTATCACCATCACTGTCATCATCAACAATTATTGATTACTTGTTATATGTCAAAACTTTTAACATTTAATATGTTTTAGCTAATGTAATACACAATGGCTCAACAATGTAGAGCCTTCATTTTACAACTGAGAAAAGTAAGACAGAGAGATTTAGTAAGTTGCTTGATGTTACCTGCTTAAGTAGCAGAAGAACAAAGTTTGAATTGAAAACTCAGCTAACATGACAGGCAGAACAAACTGACCTGAGCATGTTCTATAACATGTTTCATTCATAGGTCTTCTTTTTCATTCCCAGGGATATTTACCATGCTGTGTCTGCTGAAAAATGAACCAGGCTTATGAACACTGTGCATTTTGGCAGCTCTGTCTTTGTCTTCTCTATGTGTTAAAGGTCCAAAGTTTTGATGCAGTATATTTAAATTTTGCCAACCACACAAGATTATATAGTTGTATCTATCATCCCCATATTACTTAATCTGTGATTTAAATGGAATTAGTAAGCCAGGCACTGGTGGCTCATTCCTATAATCTTAGTTATTCAGGAGACCAAAATCTGAGTATCATGGTTCAAAGCCAACCCAGACAGGAAGGTTTGTGAGACTCTTCTCTTCAATAAAATACTGAGAAAAGAACAGAAGTAGCTTGTGGCTTAACTGTTACAGTGCTAGCCTTGAGCACAAAGAGGCTCAGGGACTGTGCCCTGGTCCTGACTTCAAGTCCCATGACTGGCAATAAATAAATATATAACATGAAATGGAATTAGTAAACAGTATCTGCTATGTAGGGTAGTGGTGAGAAAGAAACGCACACATATGTAACTTGAAGAATAAGACTGAACTATGAAAACCCCTTTGTAAATTTTTGCTGCTATTTGTTATTTTTGCATTATTTCAGATGCCATATGATCTATTTCTAATTTAAACTAACCACAAGTTGCTCCAGGAACATTTTCTTTTATTTTTTCTCGTTTTTTTTTCTTCTTCAGAGAGATGACTTAGAGTTCTGCCTATGCATTTAAATTTTAAAATATGTACATACAATGCTAAAATGACTTCTGTACTTCATCAGTTTACTTTAGGAACTGCTTTAAGAAACAGAAATTATTTCACAGAGTTCCTAGAGTGAGAGATCTGGTAAATAGAATTGTAACTACTTCATTCACAAAGATTTGTACGATCAAGGAGGGGGTCTTTCAAATTACATAGGTAATATTTCTAGGATTATAGATTTTCAGTTCAGAAAAAAAAAGTGGTAACCAAAGGATAAGTGTATAATTCAAATAGTTCCCTATCTTCCCTCTTGTTTATGAAAATCTTTAATCCCAGCCTTCCTTTCTGGAACTTACACTGCAGGAATCCTTGCTTTAGCCTTTTCTATTCTCTGGGAGCACCACAATATCTTCTGCCACAAAACAGAGCTTTGCTCTGCTTGCTTGATTTCCACCCAACCGCCCCCCCCCCCACACACATTCTAAGGTACTTCCTCATCTTGGCCAAATACCTCACTGCAAATCATATTACAAGATACGTGCTTTAAATCCATCCTTAACTCTTAGCTTTTGTATGTCACCTCATCTGTTTATTTTGTGGGTAGAAGGAGTGCATTCAAGGCAAGGAAGCAGATAGGAATTGGCGAACTCTCCAATGTGGAGCGTATGAAATTGGTAAGGAGCTGTAAGAAGATGATGTGGTACCTAGAGTGGACAAAGCACAGTTTAGGATGTTGAGGAGGTTTTGGAGGAATCAGATTGTGTAGGATTTTGTCAGCCACTATCTTCATGCCCTGACTGTTAATGACCAGGTCTGCTTTGGCAAGAAAGACTCCTCCAGAGACAAGCTTCTGACACAGTGTGTGCAGGAGTGTTCTTTCCCTGGATTTGGCTGCTAAGCTTAGAAGCTACCATCTGTTCAGTGGTAGCTGAATTTCCTGATTACTTGATGTCTGTAGTATTAGAGTTACTAAAAAAAAAATGATACTTTTGCATTGGTCTGTGCCTTAGCTTGGAAAGTGAGTCCAGTATTATAACATCAGTTTCACAAATATATGCATATTCATTGGATCCTACAAAATACATAATTAGTAAAGTATTTTAAGATACCTTTTACTACTCAAATGCTATTGTGTTTAAAATATTTATTATCATTATTTGAAACTATTTTAATCCCTTATCAGGTATTTGATTACCAAATATCATTTTCCCCCTATGGGTTTTGGTTTTACTGGGTTGAGCATGATGTATGAAAGGTTTTCATTTGATAAAGCCGAGTGTCTATTTTTTTTCTTTCAGTGCTTTTCTTTTGTGTTTTCTTCTGAGAGTTTAAAATTTTATTATTTATAGGGTTGAACTTTGGAGAGAACCAAGCAAGTCCTTGGGCATCAGCATTGTTGGTGGACGAGGTATGGGGAGTCGTCTAAGCAATGGAGAAGTTATGAGAGGCATTTTCATCAAACATGTTCTTGAGGATAGTCCAGCTGGCAAAAATGGAACCTTGAAACCTGGAGACAGAATAGTAGAGGTAACCACCAGTGAGCTTTCTGAGCTTTCTTCACCTCTCACCTTTTTGATGAAGCCAACTGAGACTTTCTGAAAATGTGTGTAAATTAAGTAAATAGAGACCAACAAATTATTCGTTCTGGATATATGTTCATTGAACTTGAGCAAAGATGTCCTTGTAAACTTTTCCAATAATGGACTAGACATGAATACTGACTTTCGTTTTATTAAAGAGTTAGAAGCCATTCTTAGTATATACTGAAAAAGTATTGTTATGCTATCCTATTAGGGTCCAGAAGGAAGTTCTCAACTAAATGCATATAATTCTTTTCGCGATAATGGTATTCTATGACAAGATGCACTGATTTATTTTGTTTCCTAAAATTGTGTACACTTTAAACTTACTTGGTAATTAGAAATGACAAAGGAATAAGAAATTCCAGTTTCCTAATAGGGTTAGCATTTGACCCTTTAAACTATTTGTGTGTGTTTATGTGAGTGTGTGTGTGTGTGTGTGTGTGTGTGTGTAATCATGTATATAGTATCTAAATATAGTGTCTAAACTGAGCTGATCATCATCCAAGCAAGCCCAGTTCAATAGAAAGTTACAAAATAACTTTCATTTTCAGTATATTTATTTAAGAATTACTAACAAATGAGCACTATTTCTTGGCTTTGAGCTACTGTTATGTCTATTTCAAAATTCCTTTGCAAAACTAACCTAATCCTTATCTGATTTTCTTGGATATCACATTTTTTTGTTGTTTTTGAGCTCAGGATTCCTTGTACAGAGAGAAAATATACAACAAACAAATAACCCAGCTACTTTCCAAATCATGATATAATGAAGTAGAAGAAAACACAGAGTCTTGCATAACTACAGTACAGCTAAGAAGTTCCTTTAGATATTCTCTTTAATGATTCTGATTTATTAATGCAAAAGAACAACTGAACAGTGAAAAGTGAAGCAGAAACAGAGCCTTGTTCCAGTCAGTTGTTATTCCAATTGATTACCAGGGACAGAAATCAGTGTCCAAAGTAACAGAGTATCCATTGGATAGACAGATTAAAAGTTTTCACCCTCATAATTATTCTTAATTATTTTTGAAGCAGAATTTCTAGGATCCAAAACTCCTGAACCACAAATTGTTCTTCGTTCTAAAGCTTCTTTAAATGTTAAGATAAGGCCTTCCATTGCAGGTGGATGGAATGGACCTCAGAGATGCAAGCCACGAGCAAGCTGTGGAAGCCATTCGGAAAGCAGGCAGCCCTGTAGTCTTTATGGTACAGAGCATTATAAACAGACCGAGGGTAAGCAAACACAAAGGGCAAGGTAGGCGTATCTAAACAGTACTCAACTTGGAGTCTAATGAAGCAAGGGCCAAGTTGTCTGTATGAACAGATGGTGATTCTTGGAACAGTTAATGATAAGTTTCTTTTGCTGTTTTTCCCCCAACATTTAGGTATTTTATAAACTCCTACCACCCTATTAATAAAGAGTTGAAGTCTGTTGAAAACACATAAAGTAGAATTTATGGGTGGCCATAGGTGTCTAGGTAGTTAATTCCTAGTATCCATTATATTCACAAGTTATAGAAGTTTATGAAAGGACTATCAGTTTGCTATTCAGATGAATAGCTCCTGATCCTATAGTGGAATCCCTTAGAAGGAAGAAAAATGATACTTTCTTTGAGTTTATGTAGTCCCCTAATCTGATCTTTGAGGCATTTGTGCATCCCACTGACTGAATATTAGGTTTCCATAAGGCGGATTTTGTTTATTTACAAGTGATTTTATAATTGCTGTTTCCCAGCATGATCACTGCATAGCTCATCACAGTACAACTCCTGGTGGACAGAAATCTAGTCACCCACTTTACCTTCAGTCATCACAGATAAAATAACTTTAAAAAGTATTTTAGAAGCTATATGCTTATAATTTCAGCATTTGGGAAGAAAAATGTCAACATATGTCAACATACCTAAAACTTGAAACTTGATTTTTATGTATGTGATTTTGTATATAAAGTGCATTGAATTTTAACTTGAAAGATTAAAAATATAAGATATTCACATACAAATGATAGAAAGAAGAGAGCAAACAGTTTTGTTTATGGGATCAGAAAAAGTAGCATCCATTCTCTATGGTGTGAAGTATAAAGCAGCCAGATTCATCTTACTGAGACTTCCTTTTGTAGTTAAAACAGGTGTGTAACTGTGGTCTGAGTTCAGGGAGGGATTTAGTAGTTCTTAATATATGAAGTTATCACATCTGCAGGTTTTAATCATTTAGATATTTATTGTTAGGTAATAATTATCCAATCAGATAGAAAATCTGCCACATGATAGGGCTACATCATGCTGCATCTTTATAAATTCTGTTCAGTTTGTTTAAGTAAGTACAAATCTTTTTACATTTGTTTCCATGTGTTATGTTAAACATAGACATGGCATGATATTATTAGTGACTGGCTTTTTATTCCTTTTTCGTCCTAATTTCTAACTCATATTATTTAGGACAATGAAATTCTAAACTGCTGAACAGTGATTCTTAATATTTCTTTAAAAACATAAACTACAAACATTTTATTCAATGCCAGTTACATTTTGTAATGACATGGATTAATACTGTTTCAGACACCTGAAAAATATTCACATTTTATTATCTGAGGTATAATGAGACCTAATTGGATAGCAGTTATTTCTGGATAAATCTTTCTTATGACGTGTCTAGTCAAGTAGTACACATTTTGCTTTGGGAAATTGGAGTTCATTTTATACTTAATATATGATATACTTCCTTTCTAGTTACTTTTCTGTGGAAATATCTTTAGTAATCTAAAAAAAAGTGAAAAAATAAAGTCACAAGTCCCAGCGGTAACTGTTTTATTTGAGGATGGAGGTTAAAGCTTTCTGGAAATATATGTAGGTGACAAGCAATTGACTTTAAGTTGCTAAGAGTTTGAACTAGAATTTGAACATCCGAGACTCTCTTGTTTGTCTGAAGAGTAGTCCCACTTATGTAGACCACCCTTAATTAATAATCTTACTTCTCTCATCAGGCTTTGAGACTAAACATTGATTCTTTTCAGCAAAAAAAAAAAATCTTTCTCTTGATCTTTCCCTAATAATATATAGTGATCTACCATTTCATCTGCTATGCGCAGGCTGAACCTTTCACTCTGCTCTCAGCACCACATTCTAATTCTGTAAGATCTGCAAAAGTACAACAACAACGGCAAAATCAAGAAACTAGAGTTCTCTTGAAACTGTTTCTTGCTGTCAGAGTTTTGTTTTCTTTTTTTTCTACAGAGAAGGCACTTGAAAACTAAAAATAGCTATGGATGAAGATTAGACGTAATCCCCGCCCTCCAGATCATTGAATTATTTTGCCTAGCATCTTTTCTCATTCTTGCCCAGTCGTTAGTTCGATTTTAATATGTGATGATGTTCCTTGGAGACTGTGATTGCCTTTTTTGTAAAGGAGGGGTTGACATTTTACTCTGAAAAGCAGGGAGAAAAAGTTGAGATGAACAGAAATGTCATTGTGCTGTATCTTTCCCCCATCTTGCCTCTGTAGGAAAAACATTTCAGGGAGAGCAGACTGAAAGGGTAATGTGGCATAAGCTTTGGTATAGGCACACTAAGAAAGTCTTTCTAGAGGGTTCCCCATAGAGTGTGGTATCATGAGACTACCTCTGTACATCCTAAGTCTGCCAGTGGGACGTTTTGGTTCAGAAAAATAATACCAACATTTAATTGGAGCCAAAATGAATTTTAAATGTCTGCAATTTTCCTTGAAACATATAGTCAATAAAAGAAAAAAAGATAGCAGGCATAAAAAGAAAGAAGAAGAATTTATTGTGCAGAGGAAATTACTTTTCACTTCTTCTGAACCATGAAAATGCTAAATTCTGTCTGTCAGGCACCATTCTATCCTTCATGTGTATATCTAACTCCTAACAGTCCTGGCTGAGGACACACTGTAGGCAAGCCACAGAGGCTGTAAGACACTCTGTAAGGCAGGATTTCAAATAGTACTTAAAGCCCATCAATTTTCTAATAATGTGGGAAACTTTATACAAGTTTTTAAAATATTTATCTCCATAATCCTAACTCTGCAAAAAAAAAAAAGCGCAGAAATACAAAATGCCATTGTATGGTAGTTCATTTCTTCATGTCTTTAAATTTTAAAATAGCATTACTCCAAATCAGTCTTAATATCTGTCAGAGTATGAAACTTTTCCTTAGTGGGAAACAAGATCAAGGAACAATAAAGGTTACTCAGACGGGCAGATAAATGTTTGATTTGTATGTTGGAACAGATAGACTATTGAAAACTATCATTAACTTTTAAGTGTAAATTTAAAAAAAGACTTAGATTTTTTGTTTTAAAGCATGTTTTCTGATACCATGCAGCATAAAATGTATTCATGTCCATCTATGACAGTAAAGCCATTTAAGGAAAATAAGGAAATTTGGGGTTAGTTTGACAGTCGGGCCTCTTTGTAGTTTGGAGACTGATTAGACTCAAGCCATTAGATACAAAGCATATCAGTATTTAAGAAAATGCCATGAATGATTAGATACAGACCCTGGAGTTCTGAATAAGTAGGTTTATTCTAAAAGTTGAGTTGTTTGAAATTCATTTCTCCTGCGATCAGCACCTCTTGTGTTTCCTTTTAGAAATCCCCTTTGCCTACCTTGCCGCACAACCTTTACCCTAAGTACAACTTCAGCAGCACTAACCCATTTGCTGACTCTCTCCAGTTCACCGCTGACAAGGTTGGATGATGTCTGTTGTTTTACCACCATTGCCTGTTCAGATGTTTTGTTCTTTGTTACTGCTGTGCCTTTGTCGCAGCCTTTGTTTTCTGTTTACCGAGTTTGGCCAGAACAAAACAAACCATAAAAACAAACAACTGTGTGTTTGGAAAAGGCATGCCAGTGCTTTCATAACCATATATTCCTAACAGAGGATATTTTTATAGCTGAAATTAAATTGCCCTTCTGAAGAAGAGACTCATCATAAGTCCAGTGTCTTCCCTGCTTTTACATTTGTGTTACTTACCTTTTTGTTTAGTTGCCATACAGCTAAACTACTTTCATACTAATTTCCTTCAAACGTTGTATTGGCTTAAACATTTTCAGACTTTTCTACAAGATGGTTACAAAAGTTCCCCCATAAGTTAATCACAGTGTAAATAATTATGTATATGTACATGCAGGAGTCTTGTAAATATTCATATACTTTGCTCAAGTAAACTCCTGAATTAATCAACTGTTTCAGTACTCATAAATCTATCTTGAATAGTCTCATATTAATTCTAAAACTGAGATTGAAACAAAATAAGAACTTACTATAATTTGGTCATGGAAAGAAGGAAAGTTACCAGAAATTTCTTTTAGGAGCATTTTATGAATATTCAGGTTTTCATGTGATTGTAATATGGATAATAATGATGCCGTGTCTGAAGGAATATGTTTTTCTATTACCGTAGGGATTACAGAATTCCAGTACATTTATCTTCCATTGTTCCCCAACTAACCCTTTTGCTCCCACACCATTTAAGGTTTGCCTAAATGAAATTTTCATGTGTGTTTTATGGTACATGTATGTTATCCTTTGTGTGTACATACATGGCATGAAGTGATTGCAAGTGCACTTTGCATTTTGCCAAAAAATAGGCTAAATGAGCATTGCTAAAGACCTATATTTTAATTAATCCCCATTTTTAAAATTGTCATTAACAAGCTAGCCCTGTCATCTTAGTAAAATGAAGATGTCAGGGACAGTAAAACAAAAGACCTAGTTATCCTTCAAGCTAGTTTTGATGAACCAGTTAGAGTACAATTTTAGTTTTATTCATGATGTAAACATCTGCTGTAATCCTGGACAGTTTTTATGTAAGCAGTTTTGTTTCTTTGTTCTTAAGGAAAACAACAGTCTAAAATATTATGTAGCAAGATCCATGGAATGTGTATCCATGGATTTGTTAAATTATGAGATATTTAAATTAGATTTTTTTGCCCCATGCCTGCTAAATACACTTTCTGTTGCATAATGTATTTATTTTTATTTTTATTTTTTAGTCGGTCATGGGGCTTGAACTCTGGGTCTGGACACTGTCTCTGAACAATTCAGCTCAAGGCTAGTGCTCTACCACTTGAGCCACAGTGCCACTTCCAGCTTTTTCTGTTTATGTGGTGCCACGGAATCGAACCCAGGTCCTTATGAATGCGAGGCAAGCACTCTACCACTGAGCCACCTTCCAGCCTCATAACGTATTTTTTAAGCCAGAAAAATTCTAAAATATATAGCTCCTTTCTCTTTAATGTGATTTCTGAGTATAGATAGGATCAAGTGAGGCATTTTTATTTTTGTACATTATTAATTTGAGAAGATTTGGCACAGCATTTAGGAAGATCACAGATTTCATTTGAACTAGCAACTCTTATCTGCTTGGCTAATGATGTATAAACTGGACAATTTTGTACAGCAGATTCTATAACCTAAATTCAAAGGTCCTTAAACCTCAATCAACCAGTCCTTTGCTTTTACAGAAGAAAGTGTACTTTTAAAATCACCAAAGAAAAAATCACAGGCGATACTGTGTAGTTTTAATGTTAAATATGTATTTTTGGTATTCTGATTTTTGACAGCAGTTAATAATTCATAATTTGCAATATTGCTAATATTTCTAATTTGCAAGCATGACTATAGTTTAATGTTTTCTTATTAGAAGTTTTTTTTAAATTAAATCATAAATATTTCTGGGAGTACCCATAAAAAATCAAGTTATTTGAGAGAGATTTTATAAAGGAAAAATGTTCAAGGGTGTTGGAGGTATGGTTCAGGTGGTAGAGCACCAGCCAATGAACAAAAACGTCAGATACTGAGTCTGAGTCTTAGTTTCAGAAAAATAAAATAAAATAGAGTAGAAAAATTTAGACTTAATTCATGAGACCCTCAAGTCTATATTTTATACCAAAGCTCACCGTTTCGCTGGGTGTCCCAACCTTGGGTCAGCTACTGTCTTACTGTGGAAATTGGAAGAGACAGTGTGGTGTAATGCAAAGTGCATTGGAAGAAGAATTAAGCAGAAAGAAACCGACTACAATTGTGTGACTTTGAACAGAATCTTTCACTTGTGGCCTGGAGTTGAGAAAGCTTATTTATCTGCAAAATGAGTGAAATGAACTTAAGGACCTTTTCAGTCTCAACATTCGTAACATATAATATCTCATACAAGAACTGAAATGATACAAAATATGTACCTATATTTTTCTTTTAAAAGACCAAAGTTCTTAAGTCACAATCATGTTTTAATTTTGTATGAAATATCTTCTCATGGATTTTTTTTTTCACTCATCTTGTGAGCTACTTTGGCAAGCAAAAGGTTTTGTCCTTAAAATCATAGTCCTCAGATGAGTTTGTGTGCTCTGTGCTAATAGTCGGCTCCCTTGGCAGACAAGCATGGGTAATGCTATTATTGTGTGGATTTATTGAGAGTCATTTGGAGAGAGGATTCAGGTAATAATAAAAAATTCCTTATGCTTAACTTTACTAAAAAACTCTGAAGACAACTTCCCTTTGACTTTTCATTTTTGTTTATTGGCAAGCTTTTCTAAACCCTTAAAATCTTACATACATCTTTGCATATTTATAACTTTGAATGAAATATTTTATCCAACAGAGGAAATTTGTATAATTTTCTATCTTGGATTCTTTAAGTCTTCAAATCGAATTACTCATTGGCTTATAATAGAAAAGTTTATAACCACTTATAACCATTTAATAAATTGTACTCTGATACCATTTTGTGTATTTAAACTTTACCTGAATCCTTTTGTATGATTTGATAGGTTTTTTTTTTAAGCTAATTTTGGTTTGACATATTTTTAACTTCTTCTCTTAAGGTTTTTTTTTCCTTAGAGTGCACATACCCACTGGCTTTCTTCTTGTTTCTACAGGCACCCAGTCAGTCAGAGCCAGAACCAGAGCAAGAGCCAGAGCCAGAGCAAGCTCCATTGTGTGGTAGGCCTTCACCATCTCCTTCAGCATTGGCAGAAATGGATAGTGATCACACACAGTCAGCTGCAACCACAGTCTCAGAAGATGTGGACCAGGAGGATGAGTTTGGTTACAGCTGGAGTACGTTGTCTTTTTGTGATGCCTTTACTTGTATGAGTTATTCTCAAGGCCTGTGCCTTGTGTGAATAAGTGTTTCAGCTCCAGTAATTCAAACTGAAATTCTATGTGGAACAGAGTGCTGTTTCTTTTCCTTGGATGTAATGAACATTCTTGAGACGTGAAATCATGTCCTTCCTTTCTTTAATTATGTTTTCCTATTAATGCTGCTTTGCCTTTCATATAAAAATCATCTAGAATCTGGTGTTGGATCAGACCCTGCCTCCTTTTAAGCATTACCCCTTTCTAGGCCTCAGTCTCCTCACTGTAACATGTGGAGACTATGGATGTTACATGCTGAACTTCTGGTATTTCCTATACTAGGATGGCAACCTAGCATAATTATTGAGATAAAAACTTTTAGACTTTTGGCTATTTGTTTACCTGCTTCTAAGTTTTAACCCTATGGTTATCTCTCTTTTTAAAATACAGTTCTTTCTTCAGCTTGTTGACATTAAATTAGATGATGTCTGAGGTCAGGAGAAGTATGCTAAGCATAATGCCTAATGCACAGGAATCATTCAAAGGCAACCTGTGTTAAGATCCATGAGGTGTCTGTTTTCTAAGGAAATAGGGCATTTTATAGGTAAATGTTAAATATGTACCCAAGACTTACAAATATCATGGGACTAAAAAGTTTCATCATAGCTGTGTGCCAGTGGCTCATGCCTGTAATCCTAACTACTCAGGAGACTGAGAAATGAGATCAAGGTTCAAAGCCAACCTGGGCAGTAAGACTCTTATCTCTAAACTATCAAAAAAGTCAGAAGTGGAGCTGTGGCTCAAGTGGTAGAAAACTAGCCTTGAGCAAAAGCAGCTCAGGAACAACAGCACCCTTGCTCTGAGTTCAAGCCCAATACTGGCACACACAAAGAAAGTTTCATCATAAAAAATAACTTATTTCCTTTAAGAAAGCTACAATATACATTGTTAGCTAGGTGCCAGTGGCTCATACCTGTAATCCTAGCTACTCAGGGGACTGAAATCTGAGGATCACAGTTTGAAGCCAGCCCCAGCAAGAAAGTCTGTGAGACTCTGATCTCCAATTAATCATAGAAAAAGGTAGACATGGCACTGTGGCTCAAGTGGTAGAACACTAGCCTTGAGCAAAACGAGCACAGAGACAATACCCAGGACCAGAGTTCAAACTCAGGGACCAGAAAAAAAATGTTTTGAAAGCACCATTGTCTGAAAGTTGTATTCTTAGATTCTAGGAGTCAGCCAGTAATGTTTATTTAGTGATGTATGTAAAACTCTCAATGTAGAATGTAGGCTGTTAGTTTTATAGCAATTGTTAAAGATGATTTATCAGGGTTATAGTTTTCTCAGAGTGTTATCAGTAGCATTAGAGTTTATTTCTATCTAATCAAAATGCCAGAGTATGCTGAAAGAAAACTGTGAGCCAGAATGTTTCAGTTTTCTGTTATCAAGCCACACTAAATGGCTCATAACAAATACTACTAATCTGACAAGATGGGGTGATTGATTGGCAGGGCTCCACTGCCAATCAGGCTTTCTGTACTACTAGTTCAAAGAAATTCCTTAACGTTTGATTACCCCAAGAAACCAGTCTGTACTACTGGCTTTTCATTGCCCAAAGTCATTTTGGAACAAATAATATCCTTTTGAGTTAAAACTAAATAACTTTCCATTGTATAGCACTTGTTTGTGAATTAACTTTAAGTATGTTGCCATTTGTTATGTGTAGAGACTATCAGAGAGCGTTATGGAACCCTAGCAGGAGAGCTCCATATGATTGAACTGGAAAAAGGTCGTAGCGGTTTGGGTTTAAGTCTTGCTGGAAATAAAGATCGAACCAGAATGAGTGTTTTTATTGTGGGGATTGACCCAAATGGAGCAGCAGGGAGAGACGGACGATTGCAGGTTGCAGATGAGCTTCTGGAGGTGAGTTTTTGTGGATAATTTGAATTTCCTTTTGCTGTATCAAGGCGATAGAATCTCTGCTTCCCAGAAAAATCAACGAGATTTCATATGGTGACTGAGAAACTATCACTTGCCTTATAAAACAGATTCACTGCAGCAGATTTGGCTATCAGCCAAATGTCTACTAAGTAGAATCTATGTTACCATTAATTTCCATTAAGTTAAGACTGTGTAGCAACAGAAACATTTGCACTAAGACAGTAATATAAAGCACCTAGCACATGAGCCCCAGCCCCAGCCCTGTTCTATTTGTTTTTTTTTTTTGATGGAGTCCTCACCTTCCTTCTTTTTCTTTTCTTTTTTGTGCCCCTGATGGTATGCGGTTTTAAACTCAAGTCCTCCTGCTTGCTAGGCACTCTACCACATAAGCCATAGCCCTAGCCCTTTTCTGTTTCAGTAATTTTTTTGATTCTCATCTTTTTTCCAAGAGCTATGCTTATATATATATAAATATATCTATTCATACATATACTTATATATGAACATTTGTTTAAATATATAACTTTAAACACACACACACATATATAAAGTTAGCTCTGGTTAAAAAGATGAGACTCAAAAATACTTATATACGTGTATATGTATATATATGTACATGTGTGTATAGAGAGAAAATATCAGAAACTACCATGGAACCCTAATAGGAGACCTTCATATGAATCAACTAGAAAAACAGTCACCCTACTAAACTTCCTATATAACTGGGATTATAAGTCTGTGCCACTGTGCTCAGCCTTTTCTATGTTAACTGTCAAAAGTTGCATTTAGGACTGGGATGCAGCTCAGAGGCAAAGCATTTGCCTAGCTGGTACAAAGTCCTGGGTTTGATCCACAGTACCAAAAAAGAAAAGACAAGAAAAAAGTTGTGTTTATATTCTAGGGAGAAAAATACAAGAGTCTAAAGATAAAATAAATGTATATTTTGTTAGGATGATAAATGAAGAATTTCAGCTCACCAAATGATTCTTTTTTTTTGTATGAATTACTCTGTAATTATTTATTAGGTCAAGTTGTTTGACCATGCTGTTCATGTCTTCTTTTTAATATATATTTTTATTGTAAAGATACTGTACAAAGGTGTTAAAGTTACATGAGCAAAGTACAGTCCCTTCCCTCCCCAACTCCTGCCTTTCCCCAAGTTGTAAAGTTTGCTTTCAACATAGTGTCTTGTATGTCTCATTATTACAATGGGTCAACCTGTATCCTTGTTTCAGCATTTTGTTATTTCCTTTCCCCTCCCCAAATTATAAAAATGTATATACAAGATGCAGGGCAACAGAATCACATACAGTGAAAACAGGGATTATACCATGGAGGAAGAACATACAAAAGAAACAAAAAAATCACACAGAACATTATAAGTACATTAAAAACAACAGCAACACTATCTTAGGGTTCATTTCCTTTAGCATCATCTTATGTGGTCATATGTATTTAGTTTTTGACCTTTTCTGCTTGTCCTAGACATATACTAGTTATTGTAAATAAGGGAAACCATGGGACCTATGTTTCTTTGGACCTGGCTTACTTCACTTAATATAATTTTTTCCAAGTCTTTCCATTTCCTAACAAATGGGATGATGTCATTCTTTCTGATGGAGGCATAGAATTCATATATATATATATATATATATATACATACACACATATACATATATGTATGTATATATGTATATATACTTGTATATATGTATATATGTGATATATATCATATATATGATATATGTATCAATTAATCTCCTGAACCAACTGTGTTGGTTCCATATCTTAGCTATGGTGAATAATGCTACCATAAACATAGTTGTACTGTTTGGGTAAATGCCCAAAAGTGGGATTGCTGGGTCATAGAGGATCTCTATGTAGAGTCTTTTGAGGAACCTCCATACTGCTTTCCAAAGTAGTTGAACAAGTTTACACTCACACCAACAATGCAGTAGGGTTGCATTTCGGCCACATCCCCTCCAGCATCTGTTGTTATTAGATTTCTTGATTATAACCATTCTAACTGGGGTGAGGTGGAATCTCAGTGTTGTTTTGATTTGCATTTCTTTTATGGACAGAGTTGTTGAGCATTTCTTCATGTATCTATAGGATATTCTTATTTCTTCTTCAGAAAAGTTTCTCTTTAAGTCTTTAGCCCACGTATTAATTAGACAGTTGTTTATTTGAGGATTTGTTGTTGGAGGATTTAATTTGAGTTCTAAGTGTATTTTAGATATGAAGCTCTTGTCCATTGTATGGCTAGTGAAGATTTCTCCCAAACTGGATTTTCTGTTGATCTTGCTAGCTATGTCCTTTTCCATGCAGAAGCTCTGCAGTTTCATGCAATCCAATTTGTCCAAACTTTCTTTGATTTGTTGTTTCTGGGTCTGTATTAAGAAAATTTCAGCCTGTGCCAAGGAGACCTGAGGTTTCTCCTATTCCTTCCTGTAATATTTTCAGAGTGTCTGCTTTGACTTTAAGGTCTTTGATCCATTTGGAGTTGATTCTGATGCAGGGTGATATACAAGGATCTAGCTTTAGTTTTCTACAGGTGATTAACCAATTTTCCCAGCACCATTTACTGAAGAGGCTGCCTTTCTTCTTTTCTATTTTTTTAGCTCCCTTATCAAAAATTAGGTGGTTATAGGTCTGTAGGTTCATTTCTGGGTTTTCACTTCTATTCCATTGATCCTCAGGTTGGTTCTTGTGCTAGTACCAAGCTGTTTTGATTACTACTGCTTTGTAGTAGAGTTTGAAATTTGGTATTGATCTTCCTCCAGCACTGTTCTTTCTGCTAACGATTGTTTTTTGCTATTTGGGGTCTTTCATTGTTCCATATGTATTTTTGGATTGCTTCTTCTATTTCATTGAAGAATGAAGTTGGGATATTGATGGGTTAGATAGCCTTTGGCAGTATTACCATTTTCACTATGTTAATCCTCCCAATCCAGGAGCATAGGAGGTTTTTCCACTTCCTTAGTTCTGCTTTAATTTTCTTTTTCAAGTTTTAAAAGTTTTCATCATAGAGGTCCTTCACTTCTTTAGTTAACTCCTAGGTATTTTATTTTTGTGGGGCTATTACAAAAGGAGTTGCTTTCCTGATTTCAGCCGTGCTCTTCTTGTTATTGGTATACAGAAGAGTGCTGCTGCTTTGTCAAAGTTTCAGATCAGCTCCAGAACTCGGGAGTGGAATCCATGTGGCTCTTTACATACATAGTCATGTCATCTGCAAAGAGGGAGGGTTTTACTTCATCTTTCCCTATTTGGATCCCCTTTATATTTGCTTCTTGTCTTATTGCTCTAGCTAGACATTCTAATACTAAATTGAAGAGAAGTGGAGAGAGTGGACTTCCTTGTCTTGTTCCTGAATTTAGAGGAAATGGCTTTCGCTATTTGCCATTAAGTATAATGCTGGCTGTAAGCCTTTATTATATTGAGGAATGTTCTGTGGATTCCTACTTTTACCAGAGCTTTCATCATAAAGGGGTGTTGAATTTTGTCAAATGCTTTTTCTGCATCTATGGAGATACTCATGTGGTTCTTATCCGTGCTCTTGTGTTGTGGTGAATTATATTAATTGATTTGTGTATATTGAACCAGCTTTACATCCCTGAAATGAATCCTATTTTATCATGGTGTATGATTTTTTTTATGAGTTGTTGAAGTTGATTGGACAAAATTCTGTTGAGAAGTTTTGCATTGATGTTCATCAAAGAAATGGGTTTATAGTTCTCTTTCTTTGATGAGTCCCTGCCTGGTTTTGGGATGAGGGTTATGATGGCTTTATAGAAAGAGTTTGGTAGTGAACTTTCACTTTCAATTTCATTGAAGAGTTGGAGAAGTATTGGTATGAGTTCTGCTCTGAAGGTCTTATAGAATTCAGCTGTAAATCCATCCTGTCCTGGGCTTTTCTTGGGTGAGAGGTCTCTTATTGCTGTTACTATTTCAATGTTTGATATGGGTCTCTTAAGTTGGTTTAAATCATCTTGGTTTAGTTTGGGCATGTCAGAATTTGCTAGAAATTCATCCATTTCTTCCAGATTCTCAAACTTATTAGCATAAAGGTTTTAGAAGTATTCTGAATCTTGGTTGTTTCTGTGGTGATGTTTCCATTTTCATCTCTGAGTTTATTTATTTGGGTGTGTTCTCTTCTTTTTCTGATAAGATTTGCTAAGACTCTGTCAATTCTGTTAATTTTTTCAAAGAACCCAACTCTTTGTTTTGTTGATTCTTCCTATTTTTTTGGATTCTAGTTCATTTAATTCTGATTCAATTTTAATTATCTGTTTCTGTCTACTGGATTGTGGTAAAAAATGAGCTTGTTGCTCTTTTTCAGGTGCCTTGTGAAATTGTTTGTTTCAGATTTCTCCAATTTGTTGATGTATGAACTCAGAGCTATAAACTTGCTTATGAGTACTACTTTCGTTGTGTTCCAGAGGAGCTGGTAATTTGTGTGTTCATTTTTGTTAAAAAGCATAAACACTTGAATTTCCTTTCTAACCTCTTCCATGACCCAGTGTGTTGTTTAGCCTCCATGTGTTACCAGATTTTCTTTGGTGTCATTCCTTTGTGGTCTGAGAGAATGCAGGGCATAATTTCAATGTTTCTGAATTTGGACAAATTTGCTTTGTGACCTACAGTGTGGTTTATGTTGGAGAATGTTCCGTTGCTGAGAAGAATGTATATTCTGATGCTGCTGGGTGAAATATTCAGTCTTTTACGTCTAGTTGATCTATGCAGTTGTTTAGGTCCTAGGTTTCTCTGTTGAGTTTTTGCTGGGTTGATCTATCCAGCAGGGATAGTGGTATGTAAAGTTCCCAACAATTAATGTCTTGGGATCTGTGTGAGATTTAAGGGAAAGTAGTGTTTCCTGGATAAATTTGGGTTCTCCATTACTCGATGAATAAATATTTAGAATTGTAATATCCTCCTGAAGAAAAGATCCCTTAATTAGTATGTAATGACCTTCTTTTTCTCTTCTCGGTAATTTTAATTTGAAATCTATTTTATCTGATATTAGGATTGCAACTCCTGCCTGTTTCTGGGGGCTGTTTGCTTGGAGATTTTATTTCAGCCTTTCACTTTCAGAATATGTTTCAGGGTTTTTTTGTTTTCTTTTTTTGTTTTTGTTTTTTTGTGGGAAAGGTGTGTCTCTTGAAGGCAGCAGATAGAAGGATCTAGGTTTTTGATCAAACTAGACAATCTATGTCATTTAATTGGAGAATAAGTCCATTAATATTGCAATTTAGGACTGAGAAGTGTTTCATAATTCCTGCCATGTTATTTACCTTTTTGGGGACTATGCCAGCGGCTTCTTCCTATGATTCTTGGATGTTCTATTTGGGGGCTGTTTCATGGCCTTTATCATGCTCTTGTTGATTTTCTATGTGTAGGACATCTTTAAGTATCTTTTGTAGTGCTGGTTTGGTGGAGATACATTGTTTCAATACATGGAAGGTTTTTAATTGTCCTTCTGTTATGAAGGAGAGTTTAGCTGTGTATAGTATTCTTGGTTGATAGTTGTTTGTCTTTAGGGTGTGGCATACATCCTTCCAGGTGCTTCTTGCTTTCATTGTCTCTGCTGAGTAATCTGAAGTTATTCTGATTAGTTTCCCTTCATAGGTGAAGGGATCTTTTCTCCCTGACAGCTTTAAAGATCCTTTCTTTGGTCTTTATTGATCCTATGTGGATTACAGTGTGGCAGTGGGATGTCCTGTTCTCCTCTGGTCTATTTGGGGTTCTAAAGGTTTCTTGTATTTGAATTGGCCTATCTTTTTGCATGTTTGGAAAGTTCTCTGCTAGGATCTTGTTAAATAAATTCCCTAGACCTTTAACTTCTGTCTCGAGGCCCTCCTCTACACCCATTAGCCTTAAATTCGACCTACTGATGGTGTCTTCTATATGTTGAGTAGATCTATCATATTTCTTGGATTTGTCTTGAATACTTGTCTGTTCTTTCTCTATAATGTCTAGGTGGTCTTCAATCACAGAGATTCGGTCTTCAATCCCAGAGATTTGATCTTCTGCATGGTCTAACCCACTGTCAAGACTTTCTACTTTGTTTTTTATTTCCTTTCCTTCTAATTGGTCAGATTTGATGGCTTCAAATTCTTTCTTGGAGCTTTGTTTGAGATCTTGTATAGAATTCTTTACTTCTTTAATTTGGTTTTCAGTGTTCATTCTCAAATCCCTTAGTTGATTGGTTATAGTTTCATTGGACTCCCTTTCTGTCAATTGGGCTTCATTCAGCATTCCCTTTGTGGCCTCCATGGATTCCTTCAGCTTTAATCTTTGTTTATTCTCATCCCGCTCACAAAATTCCTCTATTAATCTTTGAATAGCCTCCTCATGCTTGCGAAAGTCCTGTATTCATCTTTGGTTAGCCTCATTATGCTCACGCATTTCCCTATCATACTCATACAGAATCCTTTGCAGGCTTTCAATCCGTTCATTCAGCATGTTTGCCAGTAGTGGTTATGCAGCGTTTTGGGAACTCTCATCTGGATTATTCATTAACTGCTCTGTTGCCTGATGAGCAGGACTTGAGATACCTGGACTTGTCATTTTTCTTGTGTTTCTCTGGTTTGTTCTTCCCATTTGGATATGAAAGCAAAATTAATTCAGTGCTAGAACACTTTTATGGCAAGCATCAACCAGAGCCTTGTAGTTGCACAGATTGTTAGACGCAGTCAAAATGAGTACAGATACAATCTAGTTCAACAGATACAATCTAGTTCAATAACAAACAACTAGGGATCATTGGACTAAGAAAATGAAAGAAGGAGTCAGCAGACCAGGAATTAATAGGTTTAGGGAGAATTGTGAAGAGAAAATAAGGTTAGAGGAATATGGGGAGGGTAAGGGAGAGAGAGTAGATAACTAAGACCTAAATTCAGAGAGAGGAAAAGGAGAGAAGGAAAGGAGAAGAGAGACAAAGAAAAAGGAAAAAGGAAAAATAAAAAAATTTAAAATGAAACACTTAAAAGTTATATAAGTATAAAGAAATAATACAATTGAAAGAGTTAAGGCTGAGAGTTTGTGAATTGAGTATTTGATATCTGAATTAAGTAGGCACACAATGAAGGATGAGATCTAATAATCAAAGACAGGTATATATCTTTTGATGAACAGAATAGCAATTAAGTAAAGTACACAAAGGGAAAAGAATAAAAACAGAATTAAAAAAACAAAACCAAAATAAAAAGATGAAAAAATAGAAACGAATTTTTAATATGTTTTTTATTGTGGAAATACTGTACAGAGGGCTTACAGTTACATGAGTAAGGTAATGAGTACATTTCGTATAGAGCATTGTTACCTCCTCCTTTGTTTTTCCCCTACCATCCCTTCCCTCCCTACCTCTACAGCTCCTCCCTCCCCTTCCCTCCATCCTCCCAAAAAAGTTGTAAAGTTTGTTTTCAACATAGTGTCCTGTACATCTCATTGTTACTGTGGATCCACCTGTATCCTTATTTTAGCATTTTTTTATTTCCCTTCCTCTCCCCAAATTAGAAAAATGTATATTCAAGATGCAGGAAATAGTAAAGAATTAAAAAAAAAATTTTAATTAGGTAGAAAAAAGTTCTTCAATTTTTTTTTGGGGGGGGAGAGGTAGAGGGATCTTGTGTCTACCTTGTGTCTGTAACCAGTCTCTTAGTTGAGTCTCTGGTTTGCTTGTGGTATTTGGTTTTCCTGTGGCTTGATTGGTTTCTTAAATCAGTTTGTTTGAGCAGGCTGAAGGAAACTCTGCATTACCAGAGACTTTATGACCCTCCTCCTAGGCTACTTCAGTGTGAGGGTGATCTGCTTTGAGTATCACAAAAGAGCGAGATGGCTGTTTCCTCTAGCTTGGAGTTGCTGTGATGGGGCTAGGTTGTGTGGGGGGTTGAGGCCTGTCATCAGTCAGTAGCTTATCCCTGAGGGGCTAGCTCCTGAGGCACTCACAGAGCCTAGCCTGAAGCCATTCTCAGGATTTTTGTGTACTGAGTTTCCAGTTGTTTTTCTTTTACCCTCCTGCAGCTGGGGCTACCTTTTTTGCTCCAGAGGGATTGGGCAGCCTCTGGCTCTGTTTACCCAGTGGAGCTGCCCTGGGTAGAACTAGCTGTGCCTGGGAAGGGTAACTTTCCCCAGCAGTGGAGCTGACTCCTTAGGTCAGGTTCCTTTGACCTGTTGAATGGCTCCTATTGCCTTCTTCCAAGGCCTGAGTTACATGCTTGCTGCTCTGGCCCAGTCTTTGTCAGTATCAAAGGTGGAGTTCTCCGGTCATGAGGGAGGGCTACCTTTCCACCACTGCTCTTTGAAGAAGGTGAGGATGTCTTGTATATACTCACACCTTTCCCTTGGTTTCTGGGCCATCCATGGTCTGCAACTATCTGTGGTCAGCAGGATGAAGATTTCTGCTCTTTGTCAGTTCTTGCTGGTGGTCAGTAGAATCTGCTCACACACCATTGCTGGTGTGTCCAAGCTCTTTCTGTTTTTTTGTCCCAGGCTCTTTCTGTTGATATGATAGCCATGGCATCAGCTGCCACTGTGAACACTGATGAATGCTCAGATCTGTCTCTTTAACCAAGCTGCCTTAATTTTTCCTCTCTGGTCAAACTCTCTGTACTATGATGGCACTCTTCGTATGGCTCTCTAGCCTTAAACTTTTCATTAGAACACTATGCAAGAGCTTGTTTAGCCCCTAGCTTCCTCAACTCACCATATGATTCTTATTTCTCACAGATCAATGGCCAAATTTTATATGGAAGAAGTCATCAGAATGCTTCATCAATCATCAAATGTGCTCCTTCTAAAGTAAAAATAATTTTTATAAGGTGAGCAGTTTCTTTTAGTGTTTTTATAAATACATTTTTTATTGTAAAGATACTGTACAGAGAGGTTACAGTTACATGAGCAAGGTAATGTGTCCATTTTCTATTGAGCATTGTTACTCCCTCCTTTGTTTTCCCCTACCATCCCTCCCCCCCCACCCTCCCAACTCTCCTCGCCCACCCTTGGCAAAGTTGTAAAGTTTATTTTGAACATAGTGACTTGTACAACTTGTTGTTACAACGGGTCATCCTTTATCCTTATTACAGCATTTTGTTATTTCCCTTTCCCTCCCCAAATTAGAAAAATGTATATACAAGATGCAGGATAGTTTTTTGTTGTTATGCCAAAGAACTCTAAATTCGAGGTATTCTGAATGAAAACAAAACATATATATGAGTATGGCAATTTCAAGGCTTAGGGGGTTAGAGGATTTTTCAAAATAATCTTTCTGACTTTTGAAGTAATAGAATATAAGTAATACCCTTAGGATATGATAGATTGATTTTTTTTCTTCTAGAAATAAAGATGCTGTGAGTCAGATGGCTGTATGTCCTGGAAGTACAGTAGAAACTCTGTCTTCTGCCTCAGAGAATCTTCAAAACAAGGAGGCATTTGTAAGTTCTGTTATATCTTTGGGAAGATTAGATCAATACTTTCTTTTTCTAACTTAGATAACTATTATAGTGTACTTGTAGGGATATCCAAGGTAGATGAGTTATAACTGATGCTCAAAGAGTTGCCATGACCACTCATAGACAAAGCACATGACTATGTGATGATTACCTGCACAATGTGCATGGACAACAATAAGAATAGGGAAGGAGTAGCAATTCTGCTTTTAGGGAGAGTGAGAAAACTTCATAGAGAAGCTCCAACTATATGTTGAAGATGTAGAGAGAGGCAGTATGGACAGAGAGGGAGTTTGAATGGCATAGAAGCTCTGGCTAATGCAGGAGTTGAAAATTGCAGAGCATTACTGATCAAGGTACAGGGCAAGGTACAGGGAAAAGATGGAAAAGTGTTGCTGAGAAGCAAAAGAATCAAATTATCCAAAACACTATGATAGGCTATCATATGCTGACTTTGAGGCATTCAATGAATTCAATGAATGAGAATTGTATTTTTTAAAATGAAGGCTGGGGGTATGGCTATAGGGGTAGAGCACCTGTGTAGCAATCTCAAGTACCCTGAGTTCAAGTATTAGTACCTCTAAAACCAAAAGACTTCTGGGGCAATAGCATAGAGAAAAATTAGAAATTATAGGGGGGATAAATTAGTGGAAGTTAAAGAGAATGGAGTAATTCAGGAGAAATGCAGTGAGGATCTGAAAGGCAGTGAGGGCCTTAACTAAATCATCAAGTGCAGAAATCCTCCCTATTAATAGCATTGCCTTTCCAGGTAAATATTCTTCAGAAAATATATCTGAATAACCTGACTCTTTGGGCTGGCGTATGCTAGTGATTAAAATAGAGAAATAGAAAGCTTCCAGATATTGGACATGATGATGTGATAGATGGCTGTCTTCCCTATATTGTAAATACAGAAAAGAACAAATATTTACAAAATATACCACATTCTAGTGGGATGGCTTAAAAATGAAGTGAAGTGTCTGTTGGAGTCTTTAAAAATGTTCATCAGCACATGTAGTCTGGATTTTAGAGACATTTCCATAGATGCAGATTTGTCATTTGTTGGCCATGGGGGCTAGGCTAAAGCATGAGCGTATAAATCTCCTCCTATAGAGGAGAGCCAAGGGAAGATTTTTTTAGTATGAACACAAGCAGGAAGGCTAAAAATAGAGGCCAGAGGTGAGGTAGAAGAAGCAGGAGGGTATGCTGCACAGCCACTGGGGAGAGCACATTTGAGACATTTCCTGTCTTGAGATGCAGTAGAGAAGACCCCTGGGACTTGGAAACTGAGAGATTATTGGGAAATCTCTCAAGAGATTTTCGGGGAAAGCAAATGATGGACAAGAAATTAAAGAGAGCACAGAGAATGTAAAGAGGGTGGTGATAGTGGTCGGTTTTAATTTAGGAAAGTTTTAGGTACTTGAATAAGATGTATAAAAAGAGGCAGTCGATAGTGAAGAGATTACAATTAAGAGGAGCATGATGATTATTATCAAGGAAAGTGTTGAAACAAAAGTCCTCTTCCCTGAATTAATATATAAGCAGAGGCTTATTTATACATAAAATATATAAAATAGATACTCAAAGCACTGCCTCATTCTAACTGCCTCTGATGTTGACCGAGTCACATTACTTAAGATGGGTAAAGGAGGAACTTTCATTTTCATATTAGTTTTAGTAGTTACTGTATACATTGAGAAAATGTAATGTTTTAATAATTTTCAGGCAAAGAATTCAATAATTTGTAAATTCCCTTGATAACAAACACAGGAGAAATAATGATTGGTACCTTTGCTGGCACCACAAATTTTGGTAAGATTCCTTTTAGGTAGCTATGCTGTTGATCTATTCCATTTGGAGTAAATTCAGATTGACTTCTAAGCCCCTTGGATGCTCCTGGTGATTCAGTGCAATTGCCATCCAGTCATACCTTCACAGTATTTTAAGAGAACATGATGTTCATAAACACCAGGGCTATTAAACTAGCCATACTGACTTATAACATAAATAATATTAAGTAGCTCTTATTTTTAACAAACAAAAGTATCTATAACTTTTTTTGACATTTCTTTTCTGTCAGGTGGAACCAAATGTTACTACTTCTGATGCAGCTGTGGACTTCAGTTTATTCAAAAATGTGCACCATCTAGAGCTTCCCAAGGTAAATCTGCATTGCATGAGGGTGAAATTAAGTGAACACCCTCCTACACTGGTCCACTTATCTGGTTCTCAGAATGTGGTCTGTCTACCAGTAACAGCATCACCTGGGATCTTGTTAGAAATGCAAATGCCTGGATCCACTCAGGACTTCCTGCTGAATGAGGAAATCCAGGTTTTAATAAACTTACTATGATTCTAGAGCACAGTAAAATTTGAGAAACTTTGTGCTTATTGATACTTGAATAGGGCCCCAGCTTTTCCAACTGTTATTATTATTCCAGACTTTGAAATCTACTGTCTCTTTTAAGTTCATTTACTAAGCTCTTGCTAGGGGGGAAATTAAAAGAAAGATATGATACTTAGTCTTTTTCTCTTATAAAACAGAAAGCTTGTACAGTTATCTAGAAGCTCTGTTGATAGGCATTCTGAGATATTTGTTTTGGAAAGATCTGCACATTAGGATTATTTGCTGAACAGAAACCTATACATGCTTTCAGCTGCTTCAGGCTTTTGCTAGAAAGCAAGAGAACATGGGTAAAGCATATCCATCCACATGCTTTTTTAAACTTTCAAGAGAGAGTTCAGGAGAATGTTTACAACAAATACTGCTAGAAGAACTAGAGTAGTCCATATACCACTTTGTAGCCATGAGGCATGGTAGTGTGATGCTCAGACCCTGGGCTTCAGAGCCATCCTGTGTAGCTTGAATGCTTGCTTAATCAGGTATGTACTTAGGACATTGTATAAACTTTGTGTGCATGTATAGAGTGTCTGGTAAGAACCAGGCATATGTGTATAAGTATTGCCTTATCATTATAAAAATTAAGAAAGAATAAACTGGAAAAGAGATGTATTACTGCTGCTTCTTTTTAAAAATCATTAACGTTAAGTAGTTGTACAAAGGAGGTACCATTTAATAAAGCAGTTTATGAGTACAATGCATCTTGATTTGTGTCACCCCCTTCAACATTCTCACTCCCCTTTAACACATCTCTTCTCTTACTGTTTCAACTTTATAATATATACAATGAATTCTTGACTGTATTCTCCCCATTCCCTACTTCATTCCTATACTCCTCTCCCCTTGGCCCTACCCCCTCCCTTTGCAAGTACCCCTTTCATGGTGCTGATTTTGTTAGACTTTGACCTGTCTTTCTAAAAAATTATACTATATGAGCTCTGTTCTCCATAGAGTCATTTATATTTCAGTTAATTCATTTGTAACCACTTGCATACCACCCAACATGTGTACTTAGAGATTTACAGGTACATTCTACCTACCACAGATGAGGGAAACCATGCAACCTTTGTTTCTGGTTCTGGCTTACTTCACTTAGTATAATTTTCTCCAAGTGCTTCTATTTCCTTATGAAAGGTACATATCATTCTTTCTAATGATGAGTAAGAATCCATTTGTGTGTGTGTGTGTGTGTGTGTGTGTGTGTGTGTATGTGTGTGTGTGTGCACATATATCATATTTTGTGATCCGTTCATCCATTGAGAGCCATCTGGGTTGATTCCATATCTTGGCTATGTTGAATAGTACTGCATTGAAAATAGTTTCGTTGGTGTGTTTACTGTTACCTTGTTTATGTTCTATTGGATAAATGCCCAGGATTATTGCTGCTTCTTGACAATGGTTATATCCAGTATTTTCTCTTTTGATAATAGGTCACCTGACTGAAGTGTTGCATACATGTTCCTATTAAACGTTTCTTAGAATTTATCACTGCGATAGAACCCAGATCAGCCAGAATAAATCACTTAGTCTCTGTCGTTAGCATTTTTCTGGTTTGTTCATGGATGTCTAATATGTAAGCTTCTCTTTCTAAGTTAGCTGTCTATTCAAAATCCAGGACTTGGGGCTGGGAAGGTGGCTCAGTGGTAGAGCGCTTGCCTTGCATGCATGAAGCCCTGGGTTCGATTCCTCAGCACCACATAAGCAAAATCTAAGACTTTGGAGACCCTTAATGTATTACCCACAGCAGTCTTTAAAGGTAGTTTATTCCTGGGCACAATAGTGTCTTCAAGAACTAGTTCTTTCTTTCTACACAGCCATGCATAGTGTCAGCTTGATACCAATACGGTTCTTCCATATGGTTTTAGAAGGGCTGCTAGTTATAGTTTGGGCCATGTGCTACTCTTTTGCGTATGATTGGGGGAGGGGGGAATGAAAACGGCTGTTGCAGTCTTCTGAGCAAAAGTCTGAAGATTTGTCCTAATTGAACCAGTCCAACTCATATGCCTGCTCATTGACCAGAGACTATGACTATGGGAATAAAATTTATAGACTTAAGTTATTTAAACCCCATCCTTGTAGATCCTTATCCTTTACTATGTAACACATTACCACACATTTAACAAACTTAAAATAACAGGCATTTATTGTGTTACAGTTTCTGTGAGGCAGGAATTTAGAACATGTCAGCCAAGCGTTCTAGCTCAGAATATTCTATGTGATTGCTAACAGATTGCCAGTGTGGGCTGCAAATGACTGAAGGTTGAGTAGAGCTGACCAATGATCCAAAAGGTGACTTACTAGAATGCTGTTGACAAGAGGCCTTATTGCTTCTTTTATGGGGCTGCCTGAAAATCTTCAGGACATGGCATCTGACTTCCCCATGAACAAGTGATTGCAGCAAAGCAGCAAGGCCTGATATCTTTTGGGATCTAGCTATAAAACTTCACATCATCACTTCTTGTTTATTGTGTTTACTAGAAGAAGTCACCAAGTCCAGCCCATATGCTTAGCCTCAGGATCTTACGGCAAAGAACATAAAAGAATATCTACTCAAATTTTAAAGTCACTACCAAAAAATGTTGGGAGGGGAGAGGGAGAGAGTAAAGACTGGAGATGGGGAGAAAGGACAGAAGGATGGTTAGGAAACAGTTATAAGAGTGGCCGGACAGTCTTGAAATTCTTCTAGATTATAGAAAAAGATAAAGTCAGCATGGGTATCGTATAAACAGAAAGTACTGTTTTAATGAAGTATTTTTCTGGCTAAGTGGCAAATATTAGTATTATAATTGCTTTTTGTTTTAATTTTTGTTTCTTTTTCAGAGCTAGGGACCAAAGTCTGAGCCTTCCACTTACCAGACAAGTTCTCCTCCACTGAGCTAAATCCCCATCCTCCACTTTTTAAATTTTATATATAAAAAAATTTGTTTAAGTGACATATCCAAATTTAAGCAGCTATATTAAAGGTAGACTAAAGACTACTAATCATCTGAAGTAAAGTGGTAGCGGTAGATCACAGTGACAGTCTGAAACTTATTGGACATCAGTAATCTATCTCAAAAGCTATAGGGTCAACCCTCTTCAAAATGATGGTGAAATCTTGTATCAGTGTCAGTCATGGCCATTAATGTCTCTAATGGAAGGTTGGCTCTTCAGTCTGTATTTCTGAAAAACCATGGCAAGTTTCCCTTTTCTCTGTCTCACTTTTCCTAAATTTTCCATGGATGAAAGCTATAATGCAAAAGTGTTCTGGCTAGAATGAAAATTCCAAACTCTATCATAATTTTATTAAAGTAAACATTAAAGAAAGGTACAAGGCAGTATTATTGAACATTTGGTTTTGATTTTTTTTAATGTGGAAAATATAGACTAAGTAGGTACAGCTCTCCAGCCTTGGCAGATGTTCAGGGCTTATCTTTGGCTCAGATGCATTTTTATTCTACAGCAAGGCAAGACTATGTTCTCTGGAGAATCACTCCGTGCTCTGCTCCAGTAAAGGTAGAACATGCAGCCACCACTGCATCTGCCTTCCAGAAAGAAGGGTGGCAGATAAGAATGAAGGAGCTAGATAAGGTTGTTATTTGTAAGTTTTAGGCCAGAGAAAGGAGTGCGGAACCCTTTGCTTGGTTTTGAGTGACTTATTCAGTCAGCCAGTTACACAAGAATAGACTTGTAAGTGTTGAATGTTTTGGTTGAATTATTAAATGCATTTAAGCTCTGCTTATTTTGCTGATGTTACTAAAGATGTAAGATAGATGTAAGAAGTAAATTCACTTGACTTTTTGTGGGAGGAAAATTTTTCTTATTAGAAATTTTGAGAATTTGCTAAAGAAAAGGAAAAGGATAAATGTATAATAATAGGCTTCAAAGTTTTGCATTTTCTTTTTGTTTTTTAATAAGTATTTTATTGTGAAAATATTGTAAAGGGGGGTTGCAGTTACATGAGCAAGGTAATGAGTACATTTCCTATGGAACATTGTTGCCTCCTCCTTTGTTTTTTCCCTACCATCCCTTCCCTCCCACCTCCTCAACTACATTCCCCACTCCCAACCCTCCCGCCTAAATTGTAAAGTTCATTTTTCAACATAGTGTCTTCTATATCTCATTGTTACAATGGGTCATCCTGTATCCCTATTTAAACATTTTGTTTTTTCCCTTCCCCTCCCCAAATTATACCAACATCAAATACAGTAGAAACAGGGGTTATACCATGGGGGAGGGGCATACAAAGCAACAAAAAATCACATGGTACCTTATAAATACGTTAGAAACAATAGCAAGGAAGAAAAAACCACTTGGGGTTCATTTCACTTACCTTCATCTTATCTGGTCGTATGTATATTGCTTTTGACCTTTTCTACTTGTCCCAGACATATACTAGTTATTGCAAATAAGGGAAAACATGGGACCTATGTTTCTTTGGGCCTGGCTTACTTCACTTAGTATAATTTTTTCCAAGTCTTTTTTTTTTTTATGCTGGAACTCAGGGCTTGTGCACTATGCCTGAGCTCATTTGCTTAAGGATAGGACTCCAACACTTAAACCACAGCTCTGCTTTCAACTTGTTTGTCTGTAGGTAGAGGTAAGTGTCTTGAAGACTTTCCTTCCCAAGCTAGCTTATAATAGAACTTTGATCCTCAGATCTCAGCCTTCTGAGTAACTAAGATTACAGGTATGAGCCACCATCACCTGCCTTTCATTGCTTTTATAGCCCTTCTGTAAGGATACTGTAGCTATATACCATTGGATAAAATCCATCTATTTCAAACTTTCTGATCTTATTTTTACTTCTCTAGGATCAAGGGGGTTTGGGCATTGCTATCAGTGAAGAAGATACCTGCAATGGAGTCATCATAAAGAGTTTAACGGAGCATGGGATAGCAGCCAAGGTAAGGCTTTACCTTCTTTGCTGTCCTAAGAAATAAAAGTGAGAATTACTCCTGGAAAACCACTCAGATTCTTCCACATTTCTATTTAGGATGGACGACTCAAAATTGGAGATCAGATCTTGGCTGTGGATGATGAAATTGTTGTTGGCTATCCTGTTGAAAAGGTACTTTTTCACAATAAAGAAAATAACTTGGTGCAAGTCTGTGTGGGGGGAGAGCAGCAGAAAATTAGGGCTGGGTAGCTGTACTAGATTTATTCTTCAGAAAAAGAAGAGATTATTCGTATGGTCTCCAATTTTTGTTTTCTATATTCCAATCAAGGTGATGTTAATATGTAGCTATCGCCTGGTAAGTTATTTAGAATTCCCTGGGTGCTTTGATAAATGTTGATTTCATTTTCTTTAGGAAATCTTGAAACTCCTAAACAATGGCTCATTTCATGTTAGGACCAAAAGAATATTGTTTCCTTACAAATGTTTACTCCCATAAATATCTACTATACATATTACTTTGTATGCAGGTTCTAAGATTTAGCCTATAAATGTCTAGAATTTATTGGTGACAGTCTTCTCTTTGTACTTACGTTTTCAAAATTGACTCTAACAGCTTATTTGGAGTGTAACTTAGCACAATTCATATATAATTGTCAAGGGTAAAAAAAAGGGTTTCTTTTCCTTTAGGGGCTAGGCTAGTAAGTAACTGTATTTCAGTTTCTACATAGGCCAATAAGAAACCTAACAGTGACTTTAAAAATAAATCAGTTTTGATAACTGTATTAGTGGGATTCTGAGACCCATAAATCTGTTTTTTGCTTTCCATTTGCCTTGATTTCTCTGTTACAGTTTTCCTACCTTGCTTTTAATATATGCATTTCTGTGTTTCTATTTTATTAAAAATGTGTAAGCTGCTTCAAATGCTCTGTAGATTCAGAAGTGGGGAAAATTTCCTCATGTATCTAAGGTCATAGGGAATCCAGATAAATGGACAACAGTGCTTAAGAAATAGAAAAGGTTGAAAATGCTATAGTTATATAAAGAAAAACTCTGGACAGAACTCAACTTAGAGTAGAAATTACACATTGCCTTAATCTAGGCATTTGGAGATACTGGAGAAAAACTACTTTCTTGGTCTTTTGCATTCAGAAAATGAAATCATTGTTTCTTCCCTCAGAGATTAATGGGATAGATTCTAGCAATACTGATGACATAAATTTGTGTGAGTCCACTGATGTGCCCTTGATTTTGTTTCTCCTTCACACCACTACTCTGCCAGTTTATTAGCCTTCTGAAGATAGCAAAGACAACAGTAAAACTGACAGTTTGTGCTGAGAATCCAGATTCCCAAGCAGCTGGTGCAGCCAATGGAGAAAAAAAGATCAGCTCCAAGCCTCCTGCAGTCCCACAGTCTGGTGCCTCTGAACTGGAACAGGAGCCCATGCGAAGTAAGGGCCAGAGTCTTGAGAGTCCTGTACATATACATATGGCACACTCAGCAGAAGGTCCTTTCTTGCAAATCAACTGCCTGGCTCAATGTGTCTAAAAAGGTCTTAGGGAGCCCTTTGGTGAGATGGTTCAAAGAAATGGGTTCCTGAAGTGTACATTCTGGATGGATATCTGTGTGGTATGAGTTAACTAACCATGGCACCTTAGGAAATCCATCTTCCCACTGTAGCCTTAGCTTCTTTCTTGCTTATCTCTTTGCTCTCCAGAAATCTCTTGCTGATGAATTTAAAATACCATTTTGTAGCTTTTCTTTTTATAACAGGAAAGTAACTTCTTTAAACCTCAGTTTTCTTATTTGTATAATGGACATAGAGTAACCTTGTGTCACAGATAGACCCAACCAGGCCTGTGACACAAGAAACTTTAAAAAAAAAAAAGAGCGTTAATCATTGCCACATGTATATATATGTGTGGCTGGGGTGTTCTACAATATCATTTCAAATTAGGTGAAATAAATACATGTAGTCTGATTTCATTTTATTATTAACCTCACAGATTATGAGGAAATGGTTCAATTTAGTTATTTTTTGTTAAAGAAGTTATATTAGTGAGTAATAAATTTCAAGGTCTATAGCATTAGGGGTGTGTGTGTGTGTGTGTGTGTGTGTGTGTGTGTGTGTGTGTGTGTGTGTGTGTGTGTGTGTGTGTGTGTGTTGGTCCTGGGGCTTGATAGCATTAGGGGTGTGTGTGTGTGTGTGTCTGTTGGTCCTGGGGCTTGAGCTCAAATATTAGGCACTGTCTCCAAGCCTTTTTGTTGCTTAAAGTTAGTGCTCTACCACTTGAGCCACAACTACTTCCAGCTTTTTGGTTATTAATTGGAGATAAGGCTCCATGGACTTTGCTGCCTGGCTAGCTTCACACTTCGATCCTCAGATCTCAGCTTTCTGAGTAGCTAGAATTACACTAGTGAGTCACTGGTGTATGGCTGTAGTCATTTTTTTTTTTTTACTTTTTAAAAATTACTTAAAACTGGATTTTTCTGCAACACGGAGTAAGGGAAGTCTGTCTTGAGGTACAAATTGAAATATTTAGTTTTTTTGACAAGTTTAAGAGGAACTACTAGTTTCAAACATTTATAATATTGTACAGAAAAGTCTTAAAAGTAATGCATCATTGATTAAAATAATCCTTTATGTAGAAAGTCTGCATAATTCGTTGAAATGTTAAAAAGAGTTTATGGAAATTTTCTTATTTTCAAGTTTTTATTAGTCTCTAAATAGCATTGGCTATAAACATGAAATGTTGAATGGAAACTTAATATAAAAGAAAATATCATACACCTGTCTCTGCTATTTTAGAAGCAAGAAATAGTCTGTTTCTGATTTTCTAAAAGGAGAGCATCTTTTCCAAGGCATACGCTACCCAACAAGTGTCCTAGCTTTCCCCAAATATGCTGTTTTCTGTGTACTTTTTGTTGTACTATAAAACATATGATACTATAAGAAGACTCTCATGAAATAAAGTGTGGAATTATGTTCTTGTTTTTTTAAGTCTAGTCTTAATATCTATTCTTATAGTCTCAGCTCTGAGCTATGCATCAAGATTTTATATCAGAGTTTATAAAACATCAAGTGAGACACAAGGGGTAAAGCTACAAATGTCATGTGTATATGTGTGTTGTGTGTATGTGTGTGTACAGATATACTCAGAATTGATTACCTAAGAAGAGATTAAAGTGAGAGGAAGAAACTAAAACAAAGTTCTTCAAAGCAAGCACAATGACAAGAATTACTGATATGCTTTGATATGCGTTGTATTTTATGGTTTTTCACTGAATGTGCTTCTAACTGTGCAACATATGTCTGTTCTGAGGTTTACAAATGTTTATTTCATAGGAAGTATGTTTGGATCCAGTGAAATGTAGACTATTGCATTAAAACTAGGTGTGTAATTCAACCCTCTGTTCTTCCTTCATATCCTGTCTTTATCTTTAGCAATTAAAAAGGTACAGAATAACATAGAAAAATGACTATACAAATAAAGTTATACCCTGCACCACATTGAATTTGATCATACTTCTTTGTTGGTAGTGGGGCTTGAATCCTGGGTCAGCTCTTCCGCACAAGGCTAGTGCTGTACCACCTGAGCAACTTCTGGCTTTTTCTGTTTAAGTGGTACTGAAGAATCAAACCCAGGGCCTCATGCATGCAAGGCAGGCACTCTAACACTGATCCACCTTCCCAGCCCCAAATTTGGTCATACTTCTTTTATAAATAAAAATAACTGAACAATAGAATGCAAATAGAAATATTTCTTCATCCCCAGTTCATCTCTTAAAGACAACCTGTGTGGTGAATTTGACACATACACCTTTTAATCAATTGTCATTTGTATTTTTTTTAAGGTTCCAGCAGGTCATCAACACCAGCAATCTTTGCTTCTGATCCTGCAACCTGTCCCATTATCCCTGGCTGTGAAACAACAATTGAGATTTCCAAAGGGCGCACAGGTCTGGGCCTAAGCATTGTTGGGGGATCTGACACACTGCTGGTGAGTACCCACCCAGAAGTACTTTCTCTGGTTGGGCAGCCTTCAGGAAACAGTGACTGGGGATTTTCAGATGATTTTATTAAATAAAATATAAAAACTGATGAACATGTATCATTTGTTGTTATTTTAATTTATATGGAAACTATTTACATTGGTGATTCAGATGATTACTTTCTGTAATCCATACCAACTCAAAAAAGATTGTATTACCCAGATATGATATGATTTTTAGTTTTCACAATGTTTCTGTCAGTTCCCTGGTTATTGATATATTTTGATTCCCATTTTGTGTATCAGGTTGGGTTACCCATATAGAGAATGAGAAACTGCATACTTTGTAGACAAGATTTTCTAAATGTCACCAATACCTATAAAAACCATTTTCTTTGGGGATAGAATGGTGATGTCTTGGTGTACATAGGACTTGTAAATTTTGTAAAATTGTCATGAAACTTTCCTGTCATTAGAAAAATAGAAGCTTCTTTGAGACAATTAATGAAAATTCTAATCTTACATATTTCCTTAAATTATATGGCTTGCATACAACTCAACATGTGTAACTCTTATGGATGTACACAGTTTGGATTGCCTTTTCCATACTGTTGCTATGGAGAATGAGACCAAGCATGGGATAAGACATGGGTATGTTGTGTTTCGGTTCTTAGGGTGCCATTATTATCCATGAAGTTTATGAAGAAGGTGCAGCATGTAAGGATGGAAGACTTTGGGCTGGAGACCAGATTTTAGAGGTACAGAATACTTGTTATTGACCTACAAAAATAATGGAGAAAGACAATGGGAATGTGTGTCTTCTTGGCTTTTTTGTTTCCCTTCCTCCATCTCTCCCTGCATCAATCTCTCTCTCCCTTCCTCCCTCCCTCCCTCCCCACCTCTATCATCCTTTTTACCAACTTGCTCACCTGGTCCCTTACCATCAGAGTCCTCTTTCTGTACAGGTGAATGGAATTGACTTGAGAAAGGCCACACATGATGAAGCGATCAATGTCCTGAGACAGACACCACAAAGAGTGCGGTTAACCCTCTACCGAGATGAGACCCCATACAAAGAGGAAGACGTGTGCGATGCCCTTACCATTGAGCTACAGAAGAAGCCTGGAAAAGGCCTGGGATTAAGTATTGTTGGTAAAAGGTATGACCAGAGAAGACCTTAGTGTGTGAAATCTTTATGAATGACTTACGTTAATAGCAGTTAATAGCTGGTATTGATTCACTCACTGAGGGGATAAGAAAAGACACTATTTTTTAACTTTCTAAGTCAGAATTTGAGAGATTTTTGAAGGTCTTCAATGATAAATCCATTTGAACATTTCTGAGTGCCTCCTGTGTGCCAAAAAATACATTCGATTCTGAGCAACAAAGTTGAATAATAAGTGATACCTGAACTAAAAACAAAAAAATCACATTCTGATGAATGGGAATTAAATATAGACTTATAACAACTCAATCTGCTGATAACTAACTGAAATAAACTTTAGAGGAGCCACAAGGTGTAGGAGAAAGTACCAAGTGATCCTATTTTAGGGAAAATGTCCTAGAAAAAAAGTGCGTGAGTTGAGGCTGAAAGCGATAAATTGATAGTTGCTCTATTAAAGGAGATGGGGTCAACATAAAGTTGGGTGATGGTATGTATAAACGCAGTATGTACTTGTTTAAATAGTTAAATTCCTTGAAGAATGTTTATATGTAAGTAATACTAGCAAATACTAAGTTTCATAATCCTTTTTTTTGTGGTACCATAAGCCCATCATGATGATCATATACCAGATAATCAAATGAAGTCAGCACTCAATAAAAAATAACTCTGGTCTGTGATGGCCCTAAGTTAATACCTGTATTCTTTAGGCATCAGACACAATTTTCAAAGCAGAATATTTTTCTACTTGGTCAAAAATATATGAAGTTGTGAAGTATATGTTAGAATACCTTTTGGAATTAAACACTATAGCATGACCAAACCGGCATATGCTTACCTAGTTCTGCAACAACATTTCTTCTGCAACAACTAACAGACTTTTTTAAAGACAAATACTAACTTTTCATTAAAGCACAGAACTAATGTAGCATTGAATCACAATGGGAATTTGTCAGAAAAATTAGGCATTCCAATTTGGAATATGGTATTTGTATTCTGACTCTTCTGAAATGTGATACACTTAAAATGTTTGTTTTCCCATAATGGGTGAGTTAATCAGGGTACTATAAAAACTCCCAATAAACACATTTATAAGATCATTTCTTTGTTGTTTTGTATGTCCCTCCCCCACGGTATAACCCCTGCTTTCACTATATTTGATGTTGTTGTAATTTGTGGAGGGGAAGGGAAAAAACAAATTGTTTAAATAGGGATACAGGTGGACCCATTGCAACAATGAGATGTACAAGTCGTTATG